TTGTTTGTTGATTTTCAAATATAAAACTTATTGAAATGTTTTCAGTGTGTGTATCAGTTCTTTTTGAACGTTTTCATCTAATTTGAACAAAACCGTGATAATATTGATAACCGTGATAACTTTGGTCACTATAATCGTGATATGAAATTTTCATACCGTTACAACCCTACTCGGGACATCATTCTCTACCCTCTCCCTCCTTCATTTTTTTTAAGTTAGACATCAACTTTCTTAGTATTCCTCAATCTATTAATTATAAACAATATAACAAGAAAAGTAAATAATGTAAGTATTTTTCCTGCGCAACTACATTTACATATCTGATGACTCAATATGTGCAATGCATCTTTTTTCCTCAAGGTGGCACTGTTTGATACACAATAATGACGTGACGTTTCACTCATAATTACCGCAAGCATAAAACAAACTAATATCATCAGCAAAAATTTAAGTGGTTTGAATGGCTTTACTGCAGAGCAATTACTATACTACGCAATAAAATATAAATGTCAATATTTAACAGCAGCGGTCACAGTGATGATGAGGCGAGCACCAGTGAAGTTTCTCATGTCCGCTCCGTGTGTCTGCTGGGCGGCGATCAAACGGACAGGGCAGTGCTTTTCATGAGCGGAGATCGCTACTAGACGAATCATGTAAATTTTTTTTTTATTTTTTATTTTTTGTATCATCTCTGTTCTTTTGTCGTAAGTTATGCTATTACTCCATTGATTTATACTAGCCTATCCAGCGCTCCCTGAACGCAGTCTCTGGTTTATTGCCAGTCCAAGCGCAAGCAGGCACGCGTCTATAACGACTTTGATCTGATCATAAAGTCTTTCTGAGTCACAGGGCTCAAGTCCAAGTCAAGTCTCGAGTCCTTGCTGTCAAAGTCTAAGTCGAGTCTCAAGTCTTCTTTAATTATGTCAAGTCTGAGTCGCAAGTCATCAAATTTGGGAATTGAGTCCGAGTCGAGTCTCGAGTCAAGTGACTCGAGTCCACACCCCTGGTAGAAATTGTGAATACAAAATAGTTATTTTTATTAATTATGAACAACTGGAGTAGTCATGGGGCCTACAAATATTTTTGTGGAAAATGTTGTGAAAATGTGGGTCAAAAAGTTTGAGAACCACTGCTCTAATAGTGGGTGGAAAATAGATAAATAGTCAATACTACATAAATAGTAGATATTTCCCAGATATTTATATTTATAATATATTAATAATATGATATGATAAATCACTAATTATAATGACAGTATAAAAACCTGTTTAAATATGTCTATAGAATATTTTTTATATTTTTCATACAATATAAGCAAGTCTTTATACATGAAAATATACAGGAGCCTTTGTATTTTAGTAACAAGTTACTTTGCAAAGGGATCATGTTTTGGGGCCCTGGGCATCAAAAAGTTTGAAAACCCCTGGTCTAGTGTGCTTTTTAAGATTATTGACGGTTTATGTACATTTAAATTCTCTTTCCTCTCAGACATTGATGTCAGTAACCCTGATGAGAAGTCTATCATGACATACATTGCTCAGTTCCTGCAGTACTCCAACGACCTGCCCGTAGCTGATGACGATTTTGAGGTAAGACCACCTCCAACTGAATCTCCCATCTGCATCTATGCTTTTGCTGGTCTGCCTTTCTTTATTCATTCTTATGTTCTTTCTCTTTCTAACCCCCTTTCCCGCCCTCCAAATTCACTACCTCCTACTCTCTGTTGCCCCCTCCTGGTTGGATGCAGCTTCAATCTCTACTCTTTCCCACATGCCTTTCTCCTGTCAACCTCCCTACATACTTCACTCCTGCTGTGCTGGCCTCCCCACTCCACCAGGTACAGACGTCCCAGAGCGCTTGTGAATTCCTCCACAGTTTTCCTCTGTCAAAATATCATTCCAGAATCAGCCTTTACTTGTTTTAGCATGTTTTCTGATTTGACAATCAATCTTTAATTCAGTTCTATGTTTCCTGCCCTGCCCTCAGGCTTCACCCAGTCAGAAAGCCAGAGAGATGAAATGCTGGCTAGAGCGAGCCTATCAGGAGTTATTGGAGGCATGGAATTCCACAGAGGGGAATGGATATGCCGAGAGGTATCAGGTATGCTGAATGTAAAATGGTAAATCATTACTTCCTAATGTACAACACACACTTTATGACAAGCCCTGAATTTGTCTATGTTTTTATCCAAGGCATTTCAGAACTTTTTGGGGACTTATTATGACCAGCGATGTCCAGTTATTACAGTTCTCAGCGCAATGAGACACTGCGCTAAACCAAGTGAGGAGCAGATGGCATTGAGAAAAGCCTGGGACACCATGGAGGAGAGGGTGAATTCTGCTGATTAAATATGTCACCAAATACAGATTTACACAGAAATACGAATTCGACAGTTCTGATAGTCTTGGGAATGCACTGGAAATTCTAAACAAATCACCAATATCGTTCTTTATAGCAAAAGTGTTTATGAAGTTATAGCTGTCATGGAAAAAACATACATCAATACATTTTTAGACTCTTATTTTTTGTAAACATAATAAACACAGAAACAAACTTATAGCAGTATAATGTCCAAATATTCTTTGCTATTATTAAGATAAATATAATAAGCATAACAACCTAAATAAATAATTCACCTAGAAATTAAAATTACATTAGAATAAATTAAAACCTACACAGAAATACGAATTCGACAGTTCTGATAGTCTTGGGAATGCACTGGAAATTCTAAACAAATCACCAATATCGTTCTTTATAGCAAAAGTGTTTATGAAGTTATAGCTGTCATGGAAAAAACATACATCAATACATTTTTAGACTCTTATTTTTTGTAAACATAATAAACACAGAAACAAACTTATAGCAGTATAACGTCCAAATATTCTTTGCTATTATTAAGATAAATATAATAAGCATAACAACCTAAATAAATAATTCACCTAGAAATTAAAATTACATTAGAATAAATTAAAACCTTAAATAAATTAAATAAACAACCTACAGTAGTCTAGCTTTCTAATAAACCTGGCATTGTGTACTATAAATATTGTTGGCTCTGAAGAAAGATATCAGGTATGCTGAAGGTAAAATCATAAATAATGCTTATGTTGCTCCATTGTAAATCATTTTGGATAAAAGCATCAGCAAAATGCATAACTATAAATGTGACCCTGGACCACAAAACCAGTCTTAAGTCGCTGGGGTATATTTTTAGCAATAGCCAAAAAAACATTGTATGGGTCAAAATTATCGTATCGTATCCAAAATCATTAGGATATTAAGTAAAGATCGTGTTCCATGAAGATATTTTGTAAATTTCTTACCGTAAATATATCAGAACTTAATTTTTGATTAGTAATATGCATTGCTAAGAATTTCATTTGGACAACTTTAAAGGCAATTTTCTCAGTATTTAGATTTTTTTGCACCCTCAGATTCCAGATTTTCCTCAGATTTCCAGATCTCAGCAAAATATTGTCCTATCCTAACAACCATACATCAATGGAAAGCTTATTTATTCAGCTTTCAGATGATGTATAAATCTCAATTTCAAAAAATTGACCCTTATGACTGGTTTTGTGGTCCAGGGTCACAAATGTAAATAATAATTTGAATTCAAATAAATATTCAATTATTTAAAATTCTGTAACATTTAATTAAAAATAAATATAATATTATTATATATTTCATATATATTCTTAAAGAAATATGTTTTTTCTGACATAAAAATTTATTTTTTTTATGATGGCATCAGTAATATAAGTAATATTCAAATAATTAAATGGCAAAAAAATCTTATTTTTTATTATTGATTATTTTGCACACTTTCTTCTCCCCAGTTGCAAGAGTACAGAACAGAGCTTGATGTTGGTTTGCCAGCCCCTCTGAACACACTGGGCCGGTGGCTCCAGCATATGGAAGCTGTGCTGTCTGAAGACAGCGGGAGCACAGAAGATCATGCACTTGCTGCCAGAGATGCCAGACACAAGCAAGAACAGCTGAAGGTCAGTGTGTAAACAGGTATTATCATGCTTCACTGTGTACTTCTGAATTATGTGTATGTCTATGTTTATTCTTCCTGCTTTCTCAGGTCTTGGTTGAGGACTTAAGCCAGCACTTGAACACCCTTCATCACTACCGTAACACAGATGATGATGGCTGTCTTCAAGTGCCAATCGAGAAGCTGGAGGAGATCAAGAGACGGTTGGAAAACAAAATCTGTTCAGTACTTCCTGCTGAAATGACCAGCGTCTGTAGTGTTTAGAACACTGGATGCTTGATCAGCTCCAAACCAGCACAGTTTGCTGGTCTAATAACACTATTCCACTGGTGGATACGGCTTGGTACGGCTCACTTTGGGGGGGGGTTTCACTGTGTATAGGACCTGGTACTTTATTAGTACCACCTCGGTTGAGGTTCCAAGCGAACCGTACCAATACTAAAATGTGACGTGTAAACACTGCAGATCATTGATTGGTCAGAGAGAATTGCCATTACAGCGTCATTGGATTTGCGACACGAGACACCAAACACGCTAGATTTAAATAGTCAGCAACAGCCACCGCAGTATAATTTATTCACAACTTTTTTTTAAACGACTTGCTTTAAATGACCGTCACACGCAACTTGAAAAAAGAAATGGTTGTATCGTGGTCAGTAGACAAGGTGGCAACTATAACAATCAGTCTATAATCCCACCCACTTTGAAGCGGTACTGAACTGCAGTGGAAAAGCAAACCGAGTCGTACCATGCAGTGGAAAAGTGCCATAAGATGGTCTTTTCAGCAGCACCATCCCTCAGTTTCTCTTAATCTTGTCCTCTTCTTGAGACCCAGGTTTCTTGCTAATGTTCCTCATTCTCTTTGATAGTTTTACCAGTGCCAGAGTGACAGCCAAGTACCACGGCATCAAGCTACAATACAGAGAGCAGATGCACCATGTTTATGACCTGCTGGGATGTCTGAAGTCTAAGCTGAGCCTGTGGAGAGGACCTTATGGCTCCCAAGAGTCTGTGCACTCTCTGCAACAGGATTGGCATGTATGTGGCCCTATAGAGCAGTCACTGCTAATGGCTAATAATTTGCCATAAGTTTCCTTCAGAAATTTCAAATGTTTTTTAGAATCGCAGTTTTAAGTTTTGATTTGTAAAATAAAGTCTGTTGTAAAACATTACTTCAAGACTTTTAAAGTTTGTTCTTCAACATAAATTACATTCAGTCAGTCACCTCAAAAGTGAATTTTGAAAATGTTAACTGCTAGCAAGTTTATACATGAGGACTACAGCTACATGACAACTTTGCTTGCCTTTTTTACTATTTGTTGACCATTCTGCATTTAGTGAAGGCATACAGTAGCGAAGCCATATCTAAACATGCTTAAAACAATAAAGCATTGCAGAGATTACATACTTTTGTAGGCCAACCCTGAAATTAACATCACACTGGTTTCCTCGGCAGAAAGCCATTAGGATTTTTTTTAGTTGGCTTTTGTTTTGTTGCATGAAAATGTTAACTGCTAGCAAGTTTATACATGAGGACTACAGCTACATGACAACTTTGCTTGCCTTTTTAACTATTTGTTGACCATTCTGCATTTAGTGAAGGCATACAGTAGTGAAGCCATATCTAAACATGCTTAAAACAATAAAGCATTGCAGAGATTACATACTTTTGTAGGCCAACCCTGAAATTAACATCACACTGGTTTCCTCGGCAGAAAGCCATTAGGATTTTTTTTAGTTGGCTTTTGTTTTGTTGCAAAAATAAACTGTGACCAACAAAAATCATTCTTGTTCATCATGATAATATTTACAAATGAACAAAACTTTTGTGAATTGAGGCCTAAATACAGTACAATCACTAGAAGTAAAAAGCTGTTTGTAGGCATTAAACGAACTACACTACCGGTCAAAGGTTTGGGATCAGTAAGAATTTTAATGTTTTTTTTAAAGAAGTCTCTTATGCTCATCAAGGCTGCATTTATTTGATAAAAAAAATGGTAATCTTGCAAAATGTTATTACAATATAAAATAATGGTTTCTATTTTAATATCCTTTAAAATATAATTTATTTCTGTAATGCAAGCTGAATTTCCATCAGCCATTACTCCAGTAAAAGTGTCACATGATCATTAAGAAATCACTCTAATATGCTGATTTATTATTAGAATTATCAAAGTTGGCAACAGTTATGCTGCCAAATATTTTTTTGGAAACTGCGATACTTTTTTCAGGATTCTTTGATGAATAAAAAGTTAAAAAGAACAGCATTTATTCAAAATATAAATCTTTTCTAACAATATAAATCTTTGCTATGACTTCTTAACAATTTAACACATCCTTGCTGAATAAAAGTTTTAATTTCTTTCAAAAAATGAAAGAATAAAACTCTACTGACCACAAACTTTGGAACTGTAGTGTATATTGTTAGAAAAGATTTCTATTTTAAATAAATGCTCTTCTTTTTAACTTTTTATTCATCAAAGAATCCTGAAAAAAAAAGTATCACAGGTGCCAAAAAAATATTAAGCAGCACAGCAGTTTCCAGCACTGATAATAAATAATGAAAGAATAAAACTCTACTGACCACAAACTTTGGAACTGTAGTGTATATTGTTAGAAAAGATTTCTATTTTAAATAAATGCTCTTCTTTTTAACTTTTTATTCATCAAAGAATCCTGAAAAAAAAAGTATCACAGGTTCCAAAAAAATATTAAGCAGCGCAGCAGTTTCCAGCACTGATAATAAATCAGCATATTAGAATGATTTCTGAAGGATCATGTGATTCAGCATGATTACTGGAGTAATGATGCTGAAAATTCAGCTATGCATCACAGGAATAAATTAGATTTTAATGTATATTAAAATACAAAAACATTATTTTACATCATAATAATATTTCACAATATCAAATTTTTTCCTGTATTTTTGATCAAATAAATGCAGCCTTGATGAGCATAAGAAACTCCTGTAAAAAAACATAAAAAATCGTTCCGGTAGTGTACATCACAGTTGCATAACTTAAAAAAAATTATTGAAAATCAACAAAATAGAAAGTTTGGGGGGGAGTATAAACGCAACAAGGCTATAAAAACGGACTGGTGAGATGAAGTGATGACGTTTAATGTCCGACAACTTCTGTAGTCCCATTTAACCACTTGTTAGTGACAACATTTTTCAAGAAACATAAAAGCTTTAAATCGTAAACAATGATTATATGCCATTTAGGACACTGTTGACAAGCAAGGCCTGGTGTGGATGTTGAAGGAAGCACTTCATAAGCTGAAGGACACAGCAGTCAGTTATACCAACAAAGCAGCTCTGGGTAAGTCTATATTGTTGGCTGTTCTGTTATATATGTTTTTTTTAAGAAAGCTAGTGCTTTTTCCTGTAACTTATGCCTGATTTATCCTCTATCCTCTGATTATTTTCCAGCCGACGACTCGCCTGTGGTAAACAGGCAGGTAAAGGAGGCCGATAGTGAGACGGGAGTCAGTACAGAAGCTGCAGAAGCAGCAAGATCCACCATGGAGCGTGTGCTGGCTGCATGGGTGTCCTACAAAGACTGCCTGTATTTATTACAGGTCTGGCTGGGCCAGGAGGGACAATCAGAGGCACACGGGCAGGAGGTACTGTAAAGCATTTGCCATTAAAAACAGGATACAAAGTATACAGTGCCCAAAAAAAAGTGTTTGAACACCTAAGCTGCACTTAAATGTATTAATGTCATTTCTCTTAGGTCAGGGCATAATGTTTGAATGTGGTTGCTTTTTATCAGAGGTTCATTTGTCATTTGTCTTGTGATCTCTTTTATAATGTAGCACAAGCATTTTTCCTCCAACTTGAATGAGTGGAGATCACGTCAAGCCCAGCTGAATGAGGCGGGAAACTTTCTCATTGATATGAGTGATGCCTCCACCAGCCACTCTCTGACTGAAGAGCTCCGCAAACTGAACATACAGTGGGCTGACTTTATAAAAAGGACCAAGTTTGTGAGTCTTGTAAAGACAGACCTCTCTAGTTTTCAGCAGGGTCCAAAATGAACACTTGCCTAATGCCAAAATACAAGTAAAAGTTGTCTTTGTTAAAGAAATAAAGCAATTTCTAGTAACTTTATAAGAAACTGCTCCTTCTCCACCAGCCACTCTCTGACTGAAGAGCTCCGCAAACTGAACATACAGTGGGCTGACTTTATAAAAAGGACCAAGTTTGTGAGTCTTGTAAAGACAGACCTCTCTAGTTTTTCTCTAGCAGGGTCCAAAATGAACACTTGCCTAATGCCAAAATACAAGTAAAAGTTGTCTTTGTTAAAGAAATAAAGCAATTTCTAGTAACTTTAAAAAAAACTGCTCATTACTTTAAGTCAGTTTGAATGCCAATCGGAGTGATTTAAAACAACGAGACAAAAGCACAAGCAGCATCTCTTACAATTTGAATTTTGACAAACATTTTCAGTGGAAATTATTCCATTCAAGTATCTAAGGTGCCTGTTGTAAAACTGACATCTCTCACATGTAATATTTTTTCATATTAAACCACCAATTTCAGTATATATTTTGATATTGGCAACAGAAAACATGATGCAGGTGTTTCTCACAAAATATTCAAGGAAAAAACTAAATATATCCCATTGTCAAGGACAGAAATAATGCAAAAAAAAGTTTCATAGCTGGTAAGAAATAGTTATTGCCGGTGAATTTACTCGGTTCATTCTCAAGCAGGTGTGGCAAAGAGTTTATTTTGAACTTATGTTTCAATTTAAACTTGTTCTACTGGATTAAATAAAGAGTTTTGCCTTTAACCCTGCCAAGACCCAGCCTTTTCTGATTCTCTCTTTAAGTTGCATAACTTGTTGGTGGATCGTTACTACTATTTTTCACTTTCTTTGAGTAATACACTGACAAGCTGGTACTTTGGCCCATTGTGTTTCAAAACCACAGGAACATTCTGTTTCATAATTTGTGCTTACTGTTCATCAAAGCATGTGCTTGCTCTTGTTCTTTGTCTTTTAACATTCTACACCCTTGAAAAGATTGTGATTGTTCATAAAAAAAATAATTATTATTTTATTTGTAAATGGCATGTTTTCAGGCAGTGGCCCCTCCGCCCATCGCTGCAGTCCTGGGTGTCCAGGCTGCTCAGTCTCTGATGCAGGAAGCCAGCTGGGTGCTTAGAGAGACTGTGGAGGCGTCATCTGGACCTCTACGCATTTACAGAAAGAAACTCCAGGTATTCTGATCTTTCTGTCCTAGCTGTAGTGCTTCATACTGTTCGTATTGTTATACTAGATATTCCCTCATTTATTTGTCTTTCTTGATGTTTGTTTTCTTCTTTTTATTTTTTTTTATTTGTCTTGACTGTTTCTCACAATCATTTAAATTTTTTCCACTTTCTTGTCAAGGTTGTTTATGCTTGTCTTTTTTTTCACTCAGGGCATAATTAAGAAGATGTCAGCGTTCAATTTGAACTCTTTGTCTCCATCTCCAGACTGCAAAGAAGAAACTCTACAGAAACTCAGACAAACTCTTCCAGAGGTCAGGCAATATTCCTTTTAGGTTATACATGTATGTATTTACAGTAAGAGACAGTTCACCCAAAAATGATTTTTTTTTAACTTGTCCTCAGTTATCCAGTGGAACACACAAATACAAATACAATTTTAAATAATCTTTATGAGTCATCGAGTCTGTGAGTGAATAAATCACTCTTTTGAGTTGGTCCTTTCCAGTGAACTGGTTCATCAGACTGATTTGTTCATATTTGTATATATACATTTATTTGAAATGGGGCTGTTGCAAAATCATATTTTTACTGAACAATTATCGTGGCTAAAAGAATTCACAGTAACAATTTTATTGCAAAGTCTACAGAAATTTTATGAATAATGTGACAAAAATAAATGATGCTGTCAGTCAAATTCGTCTTTAACTTTTATTTTGTGTTTTAACAAAAAAGGTGTGTTGACAGACGGAGATAGACATTGTAAAAATAACTTTACAAAAGTGTACAAAAACAACTGTTGGTCGGCACTTCTAAATGATTTTGTGCGCAGTAGTAGTTACATACTGCATTAAGATTTTTTTGTTTGTTTTTGTTTTTTTTTGTATTTTATGACAGGTGGCAAACAGAGTTAAGGTGCAGTACTACCATCTATGTTGGAGTGTCAACCAACGCTCTAAACACTCTGTGTCTCTAATGAGAATAATTGATTTAACTAGGAACTGAACAAATCTGTGGACATGTTTCTTGGCAGACATTTGAGACTTTGACCCGGGTGGATCAGGTGTGTGAGAGACTCCAAAAAGCAACATCTCTGCTCGAGGGCAGGCTGGCTGAGCTTGAAAACTGGAGCACAGAAGCCCAAGAGGTCTGCAACCACCTAAAAGAAAGGCAGCATAGGGGCCACCGGGGGCCACATCCCAGGGCTAAAGTGAGCAAAATCAAGTTCTTGAGTTCATTTGGTTGATTAAAACAGTGCTTTCACATTGTCGTTTCTTGTGATTCTCATTGCAGGGACTGATCTCCAGAGGTCTACAGTTGGAAGGACAGGTGGTGACAGAAGGTGAGGACCTGCAGGTGCTTGTGACATCGGTGCAAAAGAACTCCTCCCTGCCTTACTTCAGAACATCTGCATTACAAGACCGACTGCAACGGACTGTCTCGCACTGTCAGGTGAATTTCATTGCAGGCCAGTATCGGTTAAGGAAAGCTTAAAATCATGATGTTTTAACTTCTCACACCCTTCTGTGTGTCTGTTAGGAGGTTACCGAGATGCTCAGTTCTCATGGAGTGAAGCGTGAAGGACAGCCTAAAGGTGCACAGCCCGCTTCCAAGGTTTTCGTACAGGCATATTCTCAGCCTGAATCCCAAATTGGAACCATTCAACACCATCAGAAACAGACATTCTCCAAAAGCAGCATACTTTCTCCAGAGAGCCCAGTAGAACATCAAAGCCAAGAACTCTATTCTTCTCAGTTGAAAGCCACCAGTGGCGTACAGCCCCAGGTTCTCCAACAGAATCATGATAAATCTCCAAAAGACCAAAGAAAAGCTATGTGCCAAGTACAGCATGCAGAGCTCAAACAGCCTTTGTTGTCATCTGTTGTTGGCAGGAAGGTTGAAATGAAACCCCAGACTGAAGTTCAACTGATCTCTGTAGACTCGAGCCTAACCAGTAGCTTTGGACCCTTAGACCCTTTGCAGGTTATCTCTGTAGACCCAAACCAAACCAGTGACTTCAGACCATCAGAGCTACAGGTTCTCTCAAGCCAAACCAGTGGATTTAGGCCATTAGACTCTATCCAGGTTATATCTGTAGATTCAGGCGAAACCAGGGACTTTGAACCATCCGACCTTCAGGTTATCTCTGTAGACTCAAGCCAAACCAGTGGCATTGAACAATCAAACCCTCTGCAGTCTCTATCTTCAACTATGTCCAGCCCAAGCACATTGCTTACATCGGTTACCATGACTCAACTAAAAATGCCAGGCGAGCAGCATCTTGGTTCACCACCAAAATGGCAACCTCAAACCACCTTGGTGACCCCACACCAAAGACAAAGGGTTCTGGCCAAAAGTCACAGTTTTCCTCAGCCCCATGAGCCATCACAAACTCTGCCTGTAACCTCGCTTGCATCCTGCCCAAGCACTTTGCATACACTGGTAACAGTGACTCAACAAACGATGCCAATCAAGCAGCCACCAAAATGGCAACCTCTGACCTCCCTGACAACCCTACACCAAAGACAAACGGTTCTATCCAAAAGTCACAGCTTTCCACAGCCATCAGAGGCTCCAGGTGTTCCCCATGTCCCAGTACAGAATGAGGTGTATACTAGAGCTCAGGCTTTGGCCAGGAGCAGACTGGATAAAGCCAAAAAGCACCTGCATGAACATATACAAGATGTCATCTCTGTGATCAGTACCAGAGACAAATCTAAAAAACAAGCCAATAAAAAACAGGTGAGGCCATTTAAACATTTGTAGTTTTAAATCCAGTAGTTATTTGCAATCAAAGAATGGATTAAAAGAAACATACGTTTGGTCAAAACACATACACATAAGCTGTTAATGACTTCTGATATTTTTTGGTTCTATAGGCGGTGTCACGTATTCTCAGGCCTGCAGTGTTGGAGACGTTTCTAGAAGCCGTGAAGAGAATGGGGGATTTCTGCTCTGATGCCCAGCTCAGAGACATGGACCTCCTCTCTCAGTCAGTCAGGGCCCAGTGGGAGGTAAGAGAGAGATCATGGTCCTTCTAGCTGTGCATTAGTGTATGCTGCTCAGTACAGTCGTAAACACAAACTATCAGAATTGGATTGTTGTGATTGGTTTAGGTAATGCTTGCGAATTACTCGTATCTATATGCCATTTACGTTTTCCTGAAAAGTTGTAAAGGTGCATTCTATTAGTTCTTTAGTTAGCGTTAATGTTTTGGGTCACTTCATTTCAACATGGCAAAATACAATGGGGGTTGGCCCATACGGTGCATAATTAAAACGCATGGATGTAGTTATTATTTTTAATAAATCTTGAGTTATGCATGAATATGTTTGCACAGAGGTTTTATTTAAAAGTATGTACATTCTTAAACCTTATTCAGCAGTTTTTATTTAAACCTCAGTTTTATCATTTTATAATCATCAAGGGATGATTTTGTTGTAACTGGGATCATTTATTGACTGCATGCATGTTTAGACGGTTACTTGTTTTCGTTTCATCTATATATCACATTTTGCATGCATTTCTCTCTAGTCACAACCAATTAGCAAGCCTCATTACCTGTAATGGGATTTTCAGCACTCTTTCTAAATGGCCACGAAGAAGACTTCTTTGCTGACTGATATTAACTCCCATTAGCGTAAACTTTGATGTTCATCCCCAAACCATGTTTAAAATAGTTTTTGTGATAGACAAATTTTTATTTCATTGTGTCATCATTGTCAAAGAGTTTGGAATTAGTTTGTTTTGGGTTTACACCTCAGGTATGTGCCACAGCAGCTGTGCGTTCAGTGCATCTGGAAGCCTTGAGAAGAATTACAGAGAGTCTGCAGCCTGCAGAGAGTGTTCTTCTCAGCACCACCCATCTGAGAACAGACACAAAGAAGGTGGAGACTGTTCAGTGCCGCACAGACTCCACAAGTGCCTTGGCACCATGCCAGGATGGGTATGTAAGAAACAGAGTGGAAATTGAGGTTATATAATTAAAATATCTAGGTTATATTATATTAATAATATATATTCTGATACAGTATATGTTTTAGAAATAAACATTTAGTAAACGTGTAATAGTAGAAAAAAATCTATTTCAAATAAATGCTGTTTTAAGTACAACTTTTTCAGTATTGACAATAATAATTTTTATGGAGCGCCAAATGAGCATATTATTTTAGCATATTAAGTGATTTTTGAAAGATCACGTGACACTGATTAAATTAAAAATTAGAAAAGAGTTATTTTAAAATATAATTATTACATTTTAATGTATTTTTGATCAATGCAGTCTTAGTGAGCATATAAAAAACATATAAAAATATTAACCACCCCAAATTTTAAATATTATTGCATGTCTTTTTCAAACTCTGGCCTTTCTTATAGACAGTCTAAACTAACTTGTCTCTTATGTATTTGTGCTTGTGTACAGTACATACCTCACATAAATACATTGTCTTCAAGAGTTAGGTTTAGTATATAGTAATTATAGTTAGCTTTATATAAATGTTTATGGTACTGTATGTCATTTACATAACTAAGTAAACATGCACGTGTGTGTTCACAGCAGGGGGGGAGCAGTCAAGGACTGTGTCCTGGTGAGAAAGACTGTACTGCTGGATGACCTAAGCCTTGACCACTCGCAGGTACACGTGATCATTTGCTGCATGTCTGTGTGCGTGTGACATGACTATTTTATCTATTTTTGATCAATGCAGTATATATTTTTTTAAGAGTATTTTTTTATTATTCTTTCTCAGTCTCTCACACCAGCATGACTTTACACTGGCTGGTACTTGAGCATCTGTGAGCTCCATATCTGCCCAGTGTTAACATGGCACGTTTTCTTGGCATGGTCAAATTTGCTTGTAGCCAAACACAGAGATAAACCTTATGAGAATCTGATTGGATGTTGTTGACCTTCTTAAACACATGGACAGCTCAGAGGAGTTAATCTGCTGAGATTGGCTAGGGCTGCTGAACATTGTATTGGCTTGTTCTGGGGTCGTTTGACCCCTACATTTAATGACGCTGTGGTCATTCTCTCTCATAGGCTGTTGTCCAGACCAACATTGTGGAGATAAAACAGATACCAGAGAGGACCGTCATCCACCCCTGTTCAGCACAGGAAGAGAAGGTTACCACAGAGGAAACTCAAAGCAGGTAAACACTTTTGATACAAGTTCCTGAACCTTCAAGAAATGGATATATTTCCCTACTCTGTCAATACTATCTAAAGATGTAAAATTCTAATATAAAATCAATGTTAGGACCTTTCTATATGCAAGTTATATGCTTCTACCTTTAAAAATTATCATAATGATTACTTTATGAAATAAATATGTATTTAAATTCTATTATTTATCAATTAAAATCTAGAATGTTATCCTTTATAAGCATTTTATGGACAAATTTTGTATATGCATTTTTCTCCTTCCAGCTACAGTGCTGTTCAGTCAGTCTTCCAGCAGCAGCTGCTTAACAACAGTCAGCAGCTAGGATCAGAGTTTCCCATCAGCCCCGGCAGCAATGCCAGTATCTCTGCTGACTCCCTGAGAATTCAACTCCAGCACCTACTGGTTAGTCTCCTTCACCACTTTCCTGCATTTGGGGTGCATTTTGTATACAAATAGCTGTGTGCTCATTTAGGCTCTTAAGGACCGGACAGATGCTCTTTGGTGTGAGTTTGAGCTTCAGTATTCCCAGAGCTCTCAGCGCATGGAAGATGGCTGTAATATGGAGCAGGAGAGAACTCTGCTTATTCAACAGTGGAAGGAACAACAGATGTGCTTTCAGGCCAGGTGAGAGATGTAGTCAATCCAGAATGCAGACAAACTCTGTGGATAAGGAAACATATTAATTATAATAATTTCTCATTCATTTCTGAAAAGTATCTGTGGAAACAGTTCAGAGTAAATAAATATAAACTATTTTGTCCAATGTCCAACTTTATTGATGTCAATTCTCAGGCCACCCATGTGGAGCTCTATTTCTGTGGTGCAGAGTTGTTGTTGTTCTAAAGCCGATCCAAAGGTTTCATGACCATGTTGCAAGGGAGCTTGCTAGCTTTTGGAGCAGAGCTACTGTTAGCCATAAGTATAACACTGTGTCTACACCGGACTTGTGCAGCGCGGTGCAATGCATCAAAATACTATAGAACCCATTATAATCCTTTATGCTGTCTACACTGGATGCGTCATGACAAATCCCTGAGAGTAAACTGAGGCCTTGTTCTATTTATGACATACTAACACAAAGTTCAAATGATTTGCAATGGTTACTTATCGCGTCCAGTGTAGACGGCCTCAAGCTGTCCCATACAGTGTAGACATGGTGTAAGTGGCACAATAATAATGTTATTTTATATGTTGTTCAGGGTGAAGTCCCTTGAAACTGCGGTAGAGCTGCTGGAGTCTGCGGACAATCAGATCAGACTGATTTCTGATCATATCAAACAGATTAGTCAGAAACCTCTGAATATTAGAAACTTTGCCGTTGCTGATCCCAAAAATCTACATGAAGAAATAAAGGTACATTATCCTCCAAATTCATCTTCATGCTTGCAGGTACTTGTAGATCTAAATGTTTTTCTCACCTCACAATCGAACAACTGACACAAAATTTCCTAGGAAAATATGACTTTTGATAACTTTACCTTTAGGAAATATTTGCTTCCTCATTCAAAGCATACATTTAAATATTTGCGTAATGTACCTTATATGGACTGATGTACTTTGCATGTTCAGCGTCTAGATGAAAGTATCGAGAAGGAGCTGTTTCTGCTTAAGAGTGACGGTTCAGTTAGTGATGCTTCTCATCTGAGTCCCATTGAGCTCCAAGCTCATCTTCCTCTGCAGCAAACGCTCCACAGCCGCACAAAATGCTTGGACCAGCAAAGACAATGTCTGAGAAAGAGTGAATCAGCCCTGGTGGGCCTCGTGAACCTCCTATCCCATCTCCAGAAGGTGAATGCCGAATTCAATGCAGCTCACAGTGCATCAAATCACAGTTTAGTCTCTATCCGGCAAAGCCTTCAGCAGGCCAGGGATGAATCGGTTCAGCTAGACCAACTGCTGGATGATGCTGGTATGAGAATAACTCTGGATGATAAACCAGGCAGCTGTCATGAGATGGTTTCAGCTCTGGCTCTGCGTGTTGAAGAGGTCGAGGCCAGACTGGCTGTAGGGCTGAAGCAGTCTGACAGAGGAGGGAAAGGAAGAGTGGAGGGAGAACAGATGGACAGAGCGTTCGTTAGGAAGAGGATGGGCCTGCAGGTCACCCTGAGGGAGGTGCTGACGGCACTCGAAAAACATGGGCTGAAGGAGCCCACACTTCCTGCACTACAGCACAGGTCAGCAGACTTTAAAACAGGACTGCTTTTCTGTTTTTTTTTCTGCATACAGTATTTTCAAGGATAAATTAAATTAATCCAAAAATGCTAGTAATATTTATTAAAATAATAATTGCAATATACATTTTTAAAAAATCAGGCATGCTTATTTTTCCTCTTGCCTTGCATACAATAAATTAAATGTGCTTTAGAAATCATTTAATTAATTTTATATCGTATATTGCAATTTTTTTTAATTAACCTTTTTGATTTAATTTAATTTATTATAACAAGGTGCTAGTTATGGTAATTAAAATAGCAATTGTAATATGCAATATAAATTAAAATACAATAAAAATTAGGGCTGTTTTTTCAGTATTTCATACAGTATTTCTAAAGCATATTTAATTTAATTCAATTTAATTTTAATTTATCCAAAAATAATAAAACAAGTTACTAGTTATGTCAATTAAAATAACAGTTGAAATATACAATATAAAATAGAATAAACTTTCACCACAATATATATAGACATGTATGGAAGATAATGATGTGATTGATGCATGAGTGCTTTCTCACAGTAACGCCTATATTTGATCCATTTTGGATAGTTAAACAATTGTCAGAATGACTTCTGAGAATTTTCTACCTATAAATTGGTTACAATAAAGGAGACGATATGCCTCTGTCTCAGTCTCGCCAGTGTCTCTCTCTCTTTCTCAGGTTACGCTTCCTGACAGACATGGAGAGTAAACTGGTTGCACTACGCTCAGAGATTCAGGATCTAACAAATACTTGTGCACAGACAAGCACCTCAGACACAGGCATCAGCGAGCTGCAGACGCAATTGGAAAACGCGCACAGAGCAGTCACAGAGAGGTGATGACAAACACATGATTGTATAAAAGCTCTTTGTGAAATGCCATTTTTCTGCACGTATTGCAAAATGGACACATTCGTTTCATGCTTCTATTTCAGTCGTGAACAGTGTGTCTCTCTGACTGAATTACTGAAGAAGTTTCAGAGCTGCCGAAATCGCTTGGGCAGCACTTTGCAGAAAGCAGAGCAGACTATTGGTGATCAGGCCTCCTATATGGGCAAAGACAACCTGCAGCTCTTGATCAGTAAGGTACAAAGTTACTGGAAAATACTAGGTGCAGTGCTTCCATTCCTGGTGGACTGCAGATGGCAGTATTTAACTGCATCGTTTTAGATCATTTTTAGTATTCACTGCAGATTTATATTTTGCGAATAAATTACATGTTACTTATTTTACTATATAGTTGATCAAATAAATGTAGCCTTGGTATAGTGAGTATTAGAGACCTCTATTAAATATATATATATATATATATATATATAATGTACTAACCCCAAGCTTTTGAACAGACTTGCATAAATGGTGAATTCTTTGATTGAAACAGTTTTTTGTTATGGATGTCACAACTGACAGTATCTGTGTCAAATATAATTGTTTTGCACAGGATGAGCTCAGGATTCAAGAGGAGAACATTGAACATTTCCATCGCAGATCATCAGAGATCCAGGAGCTGCTGCAGAGTCGTGAGTTCCTACTGGAGCTACAGGTGATTTTCGGACACACCAGCAACTTTTCAGAATGCTTTTTTATTTAATTAATGCTAGAGAATGTGTAACGACATTTGTATGCAAAATTGATGTGATATCCTGTGTTCTGTAGGTAAACCTCATGTATTAGTTAGTATTAACAATTAAGATTTTTTATTAATCTTGTTCAAATTTCAGCAAATTCACTAGTTCGTTTTTAAAGGTGATTGAGAGCCAGCTGAGGAAGAAGATGGCAGAGGTGAAGGAGCTCTTTTCTGAGGCCAGTGATGTTTTCAGACAGCTGGAAGCTGCCAAAGGGAAGGTGGCGTCTGATATTGCAGATCACCTGTCCTCCATTCAAACTATCACAAATGCACTGACCTCACTGACCACATCTGAAAGCCCACAGGTCGTCAACACCGTCCAGGTGAATGTTTATGCTTTAAGACTAAGCTGTGAACAGTCAAATGTAATGCTGCTGTGCAGTATGCAGTGAAGTTCAGTTTTGGCCATTTTGGTTTACATTTGGCTCTCTCAATGGCTCTGTCACATACTGTACTTGAATTTAAATTGATTTAAACCCTCAATCAGTTCACCTAAAAAATGTTTTTTGATGAGCTAAGCCTACCATTTTGACTGACAGGGCTTATCGGAGAAGCTGCAAGCAGAGGCAGAGCAGGTCGATGCATTACTGCAGCAGATAAATCTTCTGGCCAGCATTGCAGGTCTAGAAAACCTGCAGGCACTGGCTGAAGATGGAGCTCAACTTCAAAAAAGCATCTGCATGGCTAGAGAGCTGGTCATAGAGAAGAGAGAGCAAGCGATGTACCCCAACAGACCTGAAAATCTTCAGATGGCCCGAGATCCCAAGCACATTAAGTGGCGGATCAAAAAAACAGAAGATACTGCGTCTGAGATACAGTGTGAATCTTATGGTAAAACAGAGGAACAGTCACACAGAGGCCAGACACAAGATCCTCTTCTTGAGTTGAAAGACTTCAAAGAGCAGGCCTGCAGCTGGACCAGTGAACTGCATCTGAAGAGTGATTTTCAGGTTTCTGAGGATGAGAACCGACAGATCACACTTGAAGAGAAACTCACAGCTGTGCAGGTAGTTTTCTTGTCAAGGGTCTGTTTGTTCTCAAAGGGTGTGCATTTTTAAAGTGGCCTGAACTGAAATATGAAAATGTTTAGCTTTGAGAACTAGAATAAATTAGTTTCTTGGTAACTACTTCAGTAGTTATCGGAGTTATTCACTGTTTGTTTACAGCAATTTAAATTCCATTTCACTCCGTCATATAGTGATCTGAATCACTAAAGGACTTTTTTTTTTTGAACAGCTCATTTCTACGTGCCCTGCCTATTATATTATAATATAATATAATATTAGGTGTTTAATTTGCAATAATATCTGAACAATTTGTAACTGTAATGTAACTCCATAAAAGGTTCTCAGACATCAAAAACAAAACAAAACAGGAAACAGTATCATAGGAGCCCTACAGAACCTGATGACTATCTATCAAGGTCAATAAATCTCTTAAAAATCAGAAACTATGACCCTAAATTCTCAATGGATTAGCCACATTTAAAGCCACTGATAAAGCAAATTAATTAGTTCTGTTTTCATACTCCCTGCAGGGATTTCATGTGAATGAAAAAGTTCTTGCCAGCTGGTCCGATTGTCGATTTTATCCTGCGAAAGTCTTGGATGTCAATAAAGATGGTATGCTGTTCATTGCATGAAACTGGTGTGTCACATGAACCGATTCTTACTCAAATTTACATTTTTATGTTTCATATGTGATTCTAATTATCCTGCAGCATCCTACACTGTCAAGTTCTATGATGGTGTCGTCCAAACAGTCAAAGGAATCCATGTGAAACCCTCAACCAAAGAGGTTTATTTTGCATTTATATCCCATTCGTGTTGCACCTCTATTTCAGTACTAATTTTGGCCTTCTCTCCTTTTATTCATTCTCTCATTCTCACAAACAGAGAAGAAAGAAATTAACTGCTAAAAATGGAGAGACACCCATGTTAAAAAAGACAGAAAAGGACAAGAACATGCAGGAGGAGAATGGAATCAGCGGTGCTAAACAAGCAGCAGGACAAACTGACTGTGTTCCTGAGGAAGAGGAAGATGAGATCTCAGATTTGGATAGAGAAGAAGGTGAACAGAAGAAAAGCAATGGGAATGGGACATGCCTTAAAGTGGAAAACGTAAGCGTAAAGGAGGAAAATGAGGAGAGAGTCTTGGAGCAAGTAGGGCAGCACAACTACAGTAAGTCATTTCTGAAGAAGGTCTCGGGGCCTGCGGAGGGAGAAGAGGAGCCTGCAGTGAAGTTGGAGGACTCTGTGGTGTTTGACTCAATCCATTTGCTTTGATATCAGGTTATGCAGTATTGTTTCTGTGAGCAAGAACTTCATTAGGCTTCGTTATACCAACTCATTTTAGTTAGCGTTACTTCCTGCAGTACCGCCTCCTGAGGTTGTTTTAGGCTTGAATGCACACCACGCCTTTAGAGGGAAGACTCAATTCCCAACTTGGCAGCATTCCTTGCTCTTCTGACACCGTGACTTAACAAGTCAAAACCAGAGCTGTTTCCCTTTTAAATGAGCAAACAGGTGCAAGCTGTTGTGGTGAAAATGTTCACTAAAATATAAACTGACGCTTTTGCTTTATTGTAGTATGAAGAAATGCACCGAGCAAATTCAGATTCATCTGCCGGGAACAAAACGTCCCAAAACAGAGGATCAGGAGCAGACGGTGAGGATCAAATGAGGCATGCGGAGCAGCCTACGGGGACACATGTGTGGGCCACTTTACTGAACACCATCACTAAGGTTCAGCCCCTTCTGATCACCAGTCACGGTACTGAGGTATGTATACATTATGATTTTGTTTATGAATTGAACTAGAAAAACTCAAGCAACTTTTGGCAAATTAAACATTTGCACTTTTGAGACAAAAAATGGCTTCAGAAAAAAAGTACAGTTTGTATTTCTGTATCTGTTATAAGTTAAAACCAAGATACTTTTATTTTTATTTTTTTTCAGGAATCTAGACCAAGGAAAGATTCTTGGCTTCAGAACTCATCACTCTTAGAGTCTGACAGCGGTCTGGCATGGACTGTCCTGTGGGTTTTCAGATGTCGGTACAGACCGGCCCAACTTAGCATTGTACATATGGCTCATCAGCTGGAAGAAGTTGAGGTACAGTACATTACCTCATTGCACTGGTTTCTCCAAAACCTCCAGCTGTAAACAGCTGTTGACAGTAGTGGTTGTCAGTACTAGTCATGAAGATCCAGGCTACGTCCACATTAAACCATTAACATTCAAATTATTTTTCGTTTCAAAACATTCTCCATCCACACTAGCGTTTTCAAGTGTTTTCCAAAAGTTTCTCATCCACACTGAAACATCAGAAAACATTACATTTACCTTACTGCGCATGTGTAAAACCTCATAAAAAGCTCACTGAGATGATACAGATGGAGCAGACATAAGTTTTCATGCAGTTCTTTTATAATTTTATTTACGAAAATATCCCAACATTCACTGGTGTCCAGGTCACACTCACTAACTATTTGTTTGATGTAAAATGCAACTGCCCTCATGTTTTGCTGCAGGACAGCAATTGTGAGCAAATTTCTGTCATCTTTGCTGGACTGTAATATGAAGAGTGTACAAAGTAACATATCATTAGCAACAGTGTGAAAATAGCACATAACAGGCATAATACCGCTATAAACAGATATCTATTGGTCAATGCACGTCACATGACTAAACATGCGTCATCGTTTTCAAAAACCTAAGTTTTCACAGTCCACACTACAATTCGAAAACGGCGTTTTCAAATTGTATCCACTTTGGAGAGCGTTTTCAAAAAGCTCTGTTGGTGTGGACAATGCCCCAATCTACCATTTTTCAAAAACAGCCCGAACAGTCCCTCACTACACCCAGGAGATGTCTGATTACAAAACATATGACTTAAAATGAAGATTTCCAGGTCACATGTAATCAGATTTGTAACTGATTATGTCAACTCCTTTGTTTAAAAGGTCAGATGTTCTTGCTTCCATTGGAGCTCAAGATGATCTTTAGGTCATCTCAAGTCATGCTGGTGAACATTGTCAGGTTTTACATAAACTTCTGGAGTTGATGCAGCTCGAGTGCTCCTGTAATTAAAGCAGAAGAGACAAACCAAATACAAAAACCTTCTGAAATTCACATGCGTTCCATGTATTATGTATGCAAAACTAGTTTAAATCTGGCTCACAAGTGAAACTTTTGAATTATAACCATTTAAAATGACAGTAACAAATGTTATGTCATGATATCTGTGTCTCATAGATCTGCCGGCAATATGTCCTGGAGCAGGTGTCTAGACTGCCTCAATGTGAATCTAGTGCAGGACGCTCCACAGAGCTTGAGATGAGCATAGAGGACAGATGGAACAGAGTACTGCTGGATACCTCAACCATGGTGGAGTTCAAAAAGGCACAGCTCCAGCAGGTCACACAGTACCACCAGCAAAAACGGGTTCTCACGGATACTCTACATAACCTGGAGGCTGAGCTCAACACAATGACACAGTGAGCATGCTCGACATTTTCTCTCTCTGTGTGTGTGTGTGTGTGTGTGTGTGTGTGTTCAGGAAAACCATACATTATGGGGAAAAAATGTCCCCACAAAGATGGCAATATCCAAAATCCTTTGGTTTTTGGATATTTTTTGGTCCCCATGAGGAAAACATATCAATCATACAGAATTAATTGTTTTTTAAATCTAAAAATGCAGAAAGTTTTGTGGGTAGGGTTTAGGCTAAAGGGACAGAAAATACAGTTTGTACAGTATAAAAACCATTATGCCTATGGAATATCCCCATAAAACATATATACATATAAAACAAATATATATGTACACATACATATGTATAGCTAGTTTAAAATGAATTGTAAATGGTCAATGACGTAAACTGTTGGAAATAGTCATAATAAAGAATGAGTGGGTGTGTCCATTACAGTACTGTACCTGTATTGATAGTGTAGATGTTGTACAACAATGAAAAGTAACCACGTTGTTCTGACATTTTTGAAGGGATTGCATTGACAGCAGCACCTTGCAAGTGGAGAAGCTGAATGCATTCCTGAAGAACATGCAGAAGAAGAGAGGCATACTAGAGGAACTCCTACAGACATGCTCTCAGATTTCAGCCCATCTGGATGAGGCAGAGGGACCTGTGGCCTGCATTGAACCTTTCAGGACTTTACAGGAGAGATGGGAAACTATAGAGCGGGTTGCCTCCAGCAGTCTGTGGTGTGCTAACATCTGCACAGCAGAAGTATCTGCACTCCTGCAAGAAGCCAGAGATCTGCACCATGAACTGGAGCTTCTGGAGAAGTCAGTTTCTCTTCCGCATCCCTCTCGAGGACAAATGGACTGCCGAAGTGAGCTACAAGAAACTGTCAGATCTGCAAACCTGACAGCGTTAGCGGAGCTCTACGTGTACCTTCTTGAGGTCTCTCAGGCTCTTTCCTCAAGTCCGCTGGGAAAAAAAGAGCTCAGAGATGTTGAGGACGCAATGCAGGGCCTGAAATCTCAGCTTGCTCTGACTCAGGAGACGCTCAGCTCTCAGACTTCGAATGGCAATGGCTGTTCACCGATCACGAGGATTATAAGGGACTATGTTACATGGGCTAAACATTCGGAAAGCGAAGTCAGCAGGAGAAGGAGTTTGGCTCTGTTTCCTGAAGAGGCGAGTCACCAGGTCAGCCACATGAAGAAACTGCAGTCTGAAACATCTCTTAAGAAGTTTCAGTTGGCCTCTGTATTGAAAGAGCTAAGAGAGGAAGTTACAGGACTTGACAAGGAGGATTCCATGTCTCCCACCCTTGCTTGCCTAGAGGATTTGTACGTTAAGATTACAGAGAAGACCGAATGTGCTGTTGCAGAAATGAACAGACTGTTTCATATAAGAGAGAGACTGTGGAAACAGATCACTGACAGCAGCTCTTGGTTAACCTCAGTATTAGAAAAAGAGTCTGGTAAAACAGTGGCTTCTGAACCTAAAACTACTATCCCAGAATTGAGGGTTCAGCTTCAGGTATGCACAGAGGCTTTGAAGGAAGCCGAGAGACAAGCAAATAACTTGGAGATTCTGTTAGATGAAGTAAAAAGTGTGAATCACGGTCTGAGTGTACTCGAAAGCTTTCAGCTTATCAATAGGCTAACAGCCTTACAAGAAGAGGTATCTAGGGTTGTGAACCGTAAGTGGGCCTTGCGCTGGGTGCTTGAAGAACTCCTTCATGCTCAGGAATCTTCTGCTGAGGAACAGAACGTCATTCTGAAGAGCTTGAGACAGATGAGTGCTGATGTCATGAGGCAGAAGTATCCCGTAACAAGGGACTCGCTCTTGGCTCTTGAACCTGTTCAGCACATTCTGATGGAGCTCCTGTGCAAGGTGCCGGAAATTCCACACTGCCCAGATTCTCGGAGAAAAGAGATGCTCAACACTATATTAGACCTACAGAGGAGAATGCATCTGCTGGAGTTGCAAGCCAAAGAGCATGAGGAGTGCCTCATTTTAAGGCAGCACATGGAGAACTCCAAAGAGGTGGTGAAGAAGAGCTTGTCGCAGATTGTAGACTCAAGTTTAGGAGCTGACATAAGGCTCGGCTTTTGTCAGGCTGTCCTGGTGGAGCTACCTCTGGTGAGAATGACATGTCAAGAGGCCACTGATCTTCTGCTGAGGAACAGAACGTCATTCTGAAGAGCTTGAGACAGATGAGTGCTGATGTCATGAGGCAGAAGTATCCCGTAACAAGGGACTCGCTCTTGGCTCTTGAACCTGTTCAGCACATTCTGATGGAGCTCCTGTGCAAGGTGCCGGAAATTCCACACTGCCCAGATTCTCGGAGAAAAGAGATGCTCAACACTATATTAGACCTACAGAGGAGAATGCATCTGCTGGAGTTGCAAGCCAAAGAGCATGAGGAGTGCCTCATTTTAAGGCAGCACATGGAGAACTCCAAAGAGGTGGTGAAGAAGAGCTTGTCGCAGATTGTAGACTCAAGTGTAGGAGCTGACATAAGGCTCGGCTTTTGTCAGGCTGTCCTGGTGGAGCTACCTCTGGTGAGAATGACATGTCAAGAGGCCGCTGACCACCTTGAGGCCATTTCGAAAGATCTCTATCCATCCCAGCTGACAGCAGAAAGGCAAAAAATCAGTTTGGTCATTGAGCAGCTCGCCTCTTGGGAGCTCACAGTAAAAAATGAGGCTAAAACCCTTGAGTGCTCTCTGGCAGAGCGACTTGGGAGTCCTACAGACCTCAGTCCATTCACTGAGCTCTTCAACAGTGTCAGGCAGCAGCTGAAGGAGAGCATCTGCTTGGATCCAGATAATGAGACCATTGATGCAGAGCTACGAAAGCACTGGATGCAAATCCAGACCGTTGAGTCTGTTCTACGAATGCTAGAGCACTGCAGGAGAGCAGTAGATGCTGAAAACTACCAGACGGCCACTGGTCTTGGCCAGAAAACTCTTAATGATTGCGGTATGCATATGGTAAGCCCCATGCGTCCATGCATTTTAAAATCACTAATACCACTAGAATGCTACTTTTGTAACCATTGTAGTTTTCTTCAAGTATGCATGTGACAGCATTGGTATTTTTGAAGGATTTTTAGTAGAACTGTGTATAGATTTGTGATTTGATTTGATTAGGTTTTGATTGTGATTCTGATTAATTTGGTTATATTTCACTTATATATCAATTTTCTCTGTTTTCTAGTGTTTTATACTGATTCAAACTAGTAACTCTTTTTGAATTATTAATTAAAAGAATCTGTTTAAAAGAGTCAATCATTTCTGCATTTGGGCAACATTGATCACATAGTATGTTTTTGGTTAAACCAGTTGTTTTTTAATTGGATTATACTGGTTATGTTTTGTTTGTTTTTACATGCAGCCCCCGATAGCTACTTAATAGAAAGTCATTTATTGCCATTAATTTCATGGTACACAGATTTTTATTATTATTTTTTTACATTAGATGTAATACAGACTATAAAATATGCAGCAGGTGAAGTACTCTACAAACAGCAATATATCTTGGAGTTTTAAAACTCGATATTGGGATTGTTCAAATGAAAATCACGATCATTTGGAAAAAATTATGTATAGATTTGTGATTTGATTTGATTAGGTTTTGATTGTGATTCTGATTAATTTGGTTATATTTAACTTATATATCAATTTTCTCTGTTTTCTAGTGTTTTATACTGATTCAAACTAGTAACTCTTTTTGAATTATTAATTAAAAGAATCTGTTTAAAAGAGTCAATCATTTCTGCATTTGGGCAACATTGATCACATAGTATGTTTTTGGTTAAACCAGTTGTTTTTTAATTGGATTATACTGGTTATGTTTTGTTTGTTTTTACATGCAGCCCCCGACAGCTACTTAATAGAAAGTCATTTATTGCCATTAATTTCATGGTACACAGATTTGTATTATTATTTTTTTTACATTAGATGTAATACAGACTGTAAAATCTGCAGCAGGGGAAGTACTCTACAAACAGCAATATATCTTGGAGTTTTAAAACTCGATATTGGGATTGTTCAAATGAAAATCACGATCATTTGGAAAAAATGTATATTAAACCCATCTCTAGTTTTTAGAAAACTATGTGTGTTGTTTATCCAATTTCTAAATTTGTGTTTCACTGTCCAGGACAAGCTGCTCCAAGCTCGGGAGGCACTGAAGCATTACCACTGGGCTGTTCAGGGTGCAGAGAGCTTCTTTCAGCAGATTGGATCCAATCTCATGATCCCCTCTGATGGCTTCAAAGGCTACAAAGAGCAGCATCGCTCTATTCAACAGATTTTCAGCACTCTGGTTGAGGGTTTCCAGACCCGCTTGTCTGAAGTTGGTGCTTCTGTTCCCCAGCAGACATGCCTCTCCATCCCTCTAACCGAGCAGCTTCATATTGAGGTTTTGAGTCACCTTATAGTACAAGATGCCAAATTAGAATCTCAGGCTCAGCTCAGACTTGAGGCCTTACAGAGGTTGGTCATACTCTATAAAGCACGCTATGGATTGTTTTTCTATAAAAACTTAATGACCTTGACCTATGATTCAGATTGTTGCATTCACAGTTCCCTCCGATTGTTGTTGACATTTTCATATCAAATTGGAAGATCATTTTATAATTGTAAATAGTGGGGACTTTACATTTTTGGATTATTGGGGGGAAATATTTCTACAATAATCAAGCATTTTCTCAGAAAGCTCTTTAAATGGTACCACATACGGTAGAGTACTTGAAAACATTTTCCTCAGAAAACAAGCCCTGAAACGATTAGTCTGGTTGGAATACATCTATTTGGTTAAATGAAGTGTACTAGAGGCAGTTTTATTTAGCTGCCTTAAAGGTTCAATCTTTCTGCTCCAATTTAGGTCCATGAAAGACCAAATTGTTCACATGAGTCACCATGAAGAAATGAGCCAACTTCTCAAAAATGTTGATTCTCGAATCTCTAGTCAATGCTTAAGTCAAAAACCGACTGATTCCAAAGCCTGCCAAGATCAACAGCTGAAAGTAAAGGTCTGTGGTCATTATATACCATTAACAGTCACTTAATTCCATTTTGTTTATCATGCATGTTGTGATTGGTTTAAATGTGTTGCAATAATGTCTATGGAGTTCTTAAGATGATTTGGGGAACCAGTGAAAACTTGCTTACGCTTCCCTTTGGACTCCTGAAAATGAGTTTTTCTTGGTTCCTTTTGCCACTTTTTGTCTCGTAACACTGCAAGGTATGCTAGATTAGTGTGTACTGAAATTGTCTTCATCTGCAGTTGCTCCAGACAGAGCTAAAGAACCTCGCTAAAAGGCTGGAGGAATTGAGGGAAAGTTGCCCAGGTCTACGCTGCAAAGCACCTGTGGATCTGATGCTGGGACAGCTGTGGAGGTCTTGGGCAGTGCTGCAGTGGAGATTAGAATCACTCAAAGCCAGCTCGTCTCATAAAGAAGCAGAGTGGAGAGACTTTGTGATACGTGTATGTATAAATAGATTTTATTTAATTGTTTTATTTTATTTATATTTAAAATGTCATTTCCTTATAAAATGATTAATGAAGTGAGCTGTTTGTTAACCCGTTTCTCTTCATGTTTGGGTCTGCTGTGCAGCTGAATAAATCAAAGGAAGGTCTTGACAGACTGCAGAATGATCTTCCAGACTCCACTATGGTGGCGGGATCCTTGGTGGATCTTCAGGTTGTTCTGAGCCTCACTGAGCGCCTTCAAGATGGGATTGAGCAGGAGCATCACACTTTGGCATCTCTACAACACAATGTGGCACGATTGCTTGGGGTCTCAAATTTGCAGCAGCTGAAAGTGTGCCCTCAAATCTGCCAGGACTTGCAGTCTTTACAGGGTCATTGCAGAAGGTATGACTTATACACACAGACACATAAATGCTTATATGTTAAGAAATAGTATAGATTCAATGTTCTGAATCTATACTATTTACAAAGCTTCTTTTTCATGCGTAGCCTCAGAGATCAGAGCAATAACATCCGTCGGGAGGTGCTTTTTGAGATCCAGGAGTTGGGTCGTGTGCAGGAGGAGTTGAGTGCCATTCAGCAGAATGTTCTCTCTCTTTTGGCGGTTTTAGAGTCAGAGTCAGCTGCTCAACACTTACAGGTTGGTGCTTGTGTTTGACAGTCAAGGTGTCTGTTTCTGCAGTCCTTGGTGTTGATATTGCATTCATTGTGTTTTATTGCACTGTAGGAAGTCAAAATGGAATTGGTTTCACAGAAGGCTCGACTGCAGGATGTCATGGACAGAGTGCAGAAGAAATGGAGCTGTGTACCCTCAGAGATTCAAATCTTACAGAATGAGCTTGACGTCTCCATGCAGGAGGCTAAGGACAAAGTAATTCTGAAAAAAATAAAGATAAAGCAACACCTTGAACATGCGAAAAAGAACATTTGTTTGCTAATCTTTTTAAAAATATATATTTAAAATGGCACCTATAGTTTCAGTATTTGTGTGTTGTGTGTTAATTTAAATGAAAGCTAATACAGTTGTAACTCTTTATTTTTTTTCTTCAGTTGGGCATGGTCATGGAGAGAAGTGGTCCTCTCCATAAAATGGGTGAGCTGATTGGAGAGGTGACCGTAGGCTTGAATTGTGTGCAGGCCCTGCTAAAACAAACAAGTCCTAATTTTTCTGAGGCCGAACGTACACAAAAGGTACTTCTTTCTTGCTTGCCTTCACATGCACGTTATTGAAATTTTCTGTCAGTTGCTTCATTTTTTTTTCTCTCTCCTTAATTAGTTTTGCGTATTTTTAGAAAAAAAAACATTATTCTTTTATTATATTCTTACTCTGTAATCTTAAAAATAAGTATAAAACAAGCTAATTATAGTGCTGTATTCATTGTAAGCAATGTTTATTTCAAACAGCAAAACTACTTAATGTAAAGCAAAACTGAAACAACCGGTGTGTGAGTAATGTGCTGTACAAATAAAAAATAAGGAATACACTACACACCCAGATTTTTGCTCTGATTTACAGTCTGGACAAGTTGACTCTAGTTGCTGAAAATCACAGCCAATCTGCAGATCTGAGTTGTTGGATTACATAGAAAATGCTGTAGGGTATGATGGTAACAGACTCTTAGGGCCTGTTTACACCTGGTCACTTTTTCTCTGGTCGCATTTTCTCTGATCGGATATCTGTCTGATTTGTTGAAATGGTTCCATTTACACCTGACCATATAAATGTGTGTCCGCAAAATGGATATAAATCCAATCTTCAATTCCCACGCTAAATGCAAATTTAATGGAGTTCACGCCAACAAAAGCAACAGATGTGCACTGCTTTTTATTCATCATCAGCTAATTTCAACATTAAAGACTGCAACAGGAGAGAGAGCGGCATCAGCACTAGAAAGATAAGGTAGTCTTACTACTTTCAATGAAGATGATGTGTGTTGACGCCTGCGACTTACTTTCAGTTTCATTTGTGGCAGTTTGTGTGTCGGCTTGCTGAAGAGATAATCAGCTACTCATCCGCGGCGATGCGTGTTACATTAGCGCTGTCATATCTGGCTATGACATGTCATATAGCCTATAACATGCTCTCACACGTTTATTATTTTAACATTTTGGGAGGACTAAAATTTAGATATGTGATTTCAACAACCAGATGCATTTACACTTGTCCAGTTTTGTCTGGAATGCATCCCAGACCACCTCCTGAAGTGGTTTAAGCTTTAAAGATTTAAATCTGCCTCGAAAGTGTTTCGAAGGGCATTCACACTCTTTTCATGATCGGATAGCTATCTGATCAGAGAAAACTCATGAAGTGACCAGATATAAACAGGCCCCTACATTTTTTTTTTTTTAAGCTTCAGACTATGAATCCATGCTGTCAGTCCTCCAGAGATCCTCAGTTGTTTAGTGTATGATGGCCAGTTTTTCCTTTGTAACTATTTACAACGTTGGCAAGTATATGATGCATAGTGTTTTAAAATCTTTTTAGATTTTTAAAAGTCTTATAGTGATCCAGCCTCAAACCTGGGCGCACATACTTATCCCAAATGTGTGTGGTTTGCACGTTTTGCATGCTCGATGTTAGTTGCATTATATAAGTCGCTTTGGAAGTCTTAGCACATTTTAGATAATAATAATAATACAAATATATTCAGGAAAATGTTTGTATAGAGCGAGAGAATGTGAACACTTGTGAACAAAACTTCTGTAAAGTGCTTTTTACTGTTTCACTTTTAAAATGTCTAAAATTCTTTACTTTTAAAATGTACAATAAAAGTTAAAAAAATTAAAATAAAAGTAAAATATTAAAGGGGTCAGATGCTGCTGCTAAAAAGAACAGTATTTGGTGTAATGAAATGTGTTTATGCGGTTTAAAGTAAAAAAACCATTATTTTCCACATACTGTACATTATTGTTTCTCCTCTATGCCCCGCCTTTTTGAAACACCTCAATTTTTTCAAAGCTCATCGGTCTGAAAAAGCAAGGTGTGCTCCGATCTCGCGTTTGAATCATCAGTGGCAAATCCTTTAAATGAAAACGTTCTTACGTGAGTCAGAACTGCCGGCATTCTAGTCTAACGTTACTCTCCTAGGATCAGTAAACAGTCAAATGTGCTGCACACATCTGGATATTTGGGTTAAACTGTTCTGGAACAGTGTTGTAAATACCACTGATTTGTAGTCGTGTCCTCTTCTGGAAGACCAAACAAAGTAGTTTCGCTTTCACAACGAAAAACACAGCGGCCTAGCATGAGGGGAAGCCCCGGCTTAGCGTGCGCTGAGGCCGGGATAGAGTGAGCTGAGGCCGGGATAGAGTGAGCCGAGGCCGGGCTAGCGTGAGCCGAAGCCCCGGCTTAGCGTGCGCTGAGGCCGGGCTAGAGTGAGCTGAGGCGGCAGGGTTGCCCGGCGGATGCGACGAATGAGCGGCAACCACATGTGACGACGCCGGTCTGGACGCCGCTTCGTCCACGGTGAAAGTTGATGTATTCCTTCAGCGACCAGCACAGATCAGCTCTAGGCATGACGAAGCGGATATCGTCCTCTTTTGGAAGACCAAACAAAGTAGTTTCGCTTTCACAACGAAGCACACAGCGTGTTCACGACATGGCTGCAGCGTCAACAAAACTACAGTGAGATTAAAAGTTATGCCGCCTTTCTTTGCGTGAACATTTGGGTGGCGTTATGCACATCTTCCCACATAGTGAGGTAGATATGTGGGGGCGTGTTAGAACGAGCTGTTTTAGGTAGGTGTGGCTGACTCTGAACTTTTATAAAGAATATCTCTTTGGATTTGAGACTTTAGTCTTTGCAACTTTACAGATCTTCTTTATGCACCAAGAGCTTGTAACACTCCAAAGAGAAAGGAAAAATTGAAATCGCATCATATGACCCCTTTAAAGCTTTCATGACATATTGCATGAACTGTTCTTCCAGCTCTCTCATTTTTAATTTGTGTCCAATGAAATATGATGTCAACAATAACTGCGGTCTAATGTGCATCTGTGCCTGTGTGTGCAGCGTATATGGGATGAGCTGGACCAGTGGCACACGCGAATAGCTGAGCTGGAGGCTGAGGTGCAGGATCTGGCTGAGCAAAAGCCTGAGAGAGAACACGTCCTAATGGACCAGCTCACGGAGCCTCTGCAGCTCTACCAGACCACAGCAAAACAGGCCGAGCAAAGGACCGCCCTCCTCAGCAAAGTCAGATGTTACCCATAATCATGATTTCACAACAAAAACCAACACATAATGCCACTGATAGCAAACCTTGACTGATTGTGTCTTTGTATTTTGGTCCCATCAGATCCCTGCCTGTCTGCAGGACTATGAGGGTTTACTCAATAGCTCCAACTGCTGGTTGAGAGAGGCTCAGTCCTGGCTGGTCGCTCCCAGAACCTACACCACTGCGAAATGCATCCACTGCCACGCCAACTCCCTCAAGGTCAGGTCGAAACCTCACATTAAAGCCATTTTGCTTTTATGTAGTAACTTGTTAGCAATTCATGTGATGTGTCTGCAGATGATGCTGGATGAATCAGAGGGATACAGGGCAGCTCTGGAGGCCTTCCTGCCTGCCCTGCAGGAGATCACTCTGGTGTGTGACACCAGCCCTCAACAACAACTTCTCCAACTGTGTATACAAAACATCACACTCATACAGCAAAGCGTTTTGGAGCCTCTCTCCCACCTTCAGCACCTAGCAGCTGTAAGAACTATCATTACATTCCAAAAATTGTATTTACTGTTATATTTACTTATTGTCTAGGTATTGTCAAGCTTTGACACTGCAAATCCTAAGTTTTTAGTTGGATCAGTTCCAGTGAAATTTCATGATTCCTGATATCAGTTTTGGTGCCACAACTATTGAACACAGTTCTTTTATACAATATATATATATTATAGTAAGAATATTAAGACATTAAATCAAAACAATAGTGTGTGCATAGCATTCAAGTATTTCTTAAGTAAATGATGCTTGACTTTTTCAGTAGAACCAAATGTTCAAGAAGAGCAAATATTTTGGGGGTTTTTCTGTTTACATAAAATGTGCACTACTGTTCAACAGTTTGGGGTCCGCAAGGTTTTTTAATGTTTTTGAAGGAAGTATCTTATACTCACCAAGGCTGCATTTATTTGATCAAAACTATACTAAAACAGTATTGTGGAATAAATTGTTAATATATTATTATATATTATTTTTGTGAAATAATAAAATATTTACATTTTAAAATAATTAATTAAAAAACTAATTTATTCCTGTGATGCAAAGCTGAATTTTCAGCAGCCATTACTCCAGTCTTCAGTGTCACATGATACTTCAGAAATCATAATCATTTGTAATATGCTGATTTGCTGCTCAAGAAACAAATGTATTATGTTAAAAACAGTTGTTCTGTTTTTTTGTGACATTTTCTTTAGGTTTTTTTGATGATGAGTTCAGAAAAGCAGCATCTATTTGAAAGCGATTTTTTTGTAACATTGGTTTTACGTTCACTTGATCAATTCAATGCATCCTTGTTGAATAAAAGTATTAATTTATTTTAAAAAAAAAACAAAGAAATCTGATTTTCTATGCATTAATATATCAAATGGTGTCATAACATTAAAAAACAAACAAACAAAAAAACTTACTGAATTGGAAGTATTGGATCTTTTGCTATCTGTAACAGTATATACTTAATTTGAAGGGTTTTATGAGGTTCCATTACTTGAATTACTTCCTAGTATATAATACTATGATGAAATTTCTTAATTATGTTGTCTATTTTAACTGTAATTCACTTATAACTTGTTTTTAGGAGATGGACGCCATTGAAGCAGAGGTAAAGACAATGGAGAAAAATATAACTAAGATCAGAACAATTCTTTCGGCCACTGACACAGAGAACATTTTTCCTGAGGAACATCTTGAGAACATGCAGGTAATGTACATCATGTCTCACTATTCTCTGTTTGGACTGTAAACATTTACAGTACCTCATATCCCTCCTATCCTCTGTAACAGGTCATTCTGGATAATGTTCAGTCAATGAAGAGGACCATTGATGAGATTGAGAGCTGCAGGCCAGGCCTGGGGCTTCCTGCTGGGGCAGAGCAGACTCTCACAGCCTTCCATAGGGCCCAAGAGCTCCTGCAGCCAATCCAGGAGCTACAGCAGCTCAGTGTGGAGCGGAACACCGCGTTAATGGTCTGTCGCTCTAATAGTTTGCTTGTGTTTACCAAGAGTTGAGGTTTCCCACATACTGAGCTAGAGTGTGTTTGAAAGTGCCCCTATTATGCCAATTTCAAGGTTCCTAATATTGTTTTGGGAGTCTCCTACAATTTCTCAAAAAATGCAATTTATATCCCTCCTTTCCGTGCGCCTGCTCTCCTCTGATTGGTCAGAAGGCCCAGTCTGTTGTGATAGATCTACCGCGTACAGCGTGTGTGCGAAACCATACGCCCATTGCCGTAGTTCATATTTTGAACGCTCGATAGAAAATATAAACATCTATTATTTATCATACTTACAGGTTGTGATTCAGTGGAGCCAGCTGGTCCAAATAAACTGTGTATTGAGCCATCTTTCAAGAGCAAATGTTTTGTGAATCCCACGTTGAACTCCCCCAGATTAGAGAAGCAGTCAATTCTTTCTTTTGGGAGACAATAACTTTATTTATTGTGCTTTACAACTTTACATATCATTTACATTAACATACAGCTACATTACACACTGCATGAAAGTCAATATTCGAAATGGCATAATAGTGGCACTTTAACTTATTTACTTCATGAAAAGCAGCTTTCAGTAGTTAGTGTTTTACAAATACCTTGTTTTTTACACCACAGTAAAATGTTAAACTTTTACAACTTATATAAGTGCAAAAGAAGACCAAGTTTAACATGCATTTTATTTTTTTTTGTTCATGTTGAGCTGGCAAATTTTGCATCCCCCTCTCAAGTGACGCCTACAGGAATGTATTCATTTATAGTGATTGCTAAATCTAAAATACATATAAAACTTCCATTTTAATTTCACTTAAAAAAATAGCTATTTTGCAGATTTATTCCTATGATGTGAATGGCTTTTTTAAAAGTTCAAATATTTCTTGTAGTCTTTACATTAAAGCTGCATTACGTAACTTTTTTTTGTTTCAAAATTATCCAAAATCAAATATTGAGCAAAACATAACCAATCAGTGTTCAAAACTATCTCCTTACTTTAGCCCGATTCACAATGGTAAGCTTGTAATGTTTTCTAATTTGAGTGGTTTGTGTCAGTTTCCGAGTTTGCCGCCGTTCATCTTTGCGTCATTACGTCACATCTTTATACATAAAGAAGGAGTCCCGGCTAGTAGGCGATATCGCGTGTGTGGATGCTGCAGGTGGTGGATCATTTGTAGCCTTTTCTTACAGCAGCTGGAATGTCATTTTAGAAAGAGTTGTAAGGAACATTAAATAGTTTTTTGTGGTTAAAAGAACAATTTCTTTTGATGACATTCGAATGATTGAAATCTACAAATAACGCTAACACGCACTAAATACAACGCAATGTTGATGTTGTTAACATTAACAATTTGAGAACAAAGTATATCAATAATAATAATAATCACCATTGATAGTGTGATTTATTATAAAACGTTTTTGATAATTTTTTTTGCCAAAACTGTGAAACTTTTTATTTTGAACATACTTCTAAGATGTAGTATCTGTAATTCTGAAGTACAGTGAATATCCACACTGGTGTGTTAACTGACAGCCCACACATACACCTCAAGTCATTAGATTAATCCGCGCTGAGGAGTCGTGCCGAGGCACAACCCACGTAAAGAAGATAATTCCGCAATTAACTGCAATTGCAGATTTCAAACAGAGATGGCGGCAAAGAGGCAAAACCTTTTTTTATGGTCTTTAGTATGAGACCATAAAAACTTCATAAACAATAATTCTAAAAATTATAAAAACTTTTTTAAATTATTGTTTTTTTCAAATTACATTTTATATTAAATATGTAATGTCACATTGCAGGGCAATGCTTGAAATGGCATTATTAGAGGATAGATAACTTTTACATGAATTATAGTTGTCATAAAAGACAGCTATTCAGTTTCAGTGGGGGCATGTCCTTAATAAATAAATAAACAAATAAATATCAAGCTATGAAACAATCGTGATGAGTTGAAATTTTTTCAACTGTTCAAACACATCCATTTACAACATTTCCAGCAATCAAATACAGAGATTTATAATGCTATATTTAAAATGACCTTTGGTCTAGTCAGTTTTAGTAAGAACATAAAATGTGACCCTGGACCACAAAACCAGTCATAAGGGTCAATTTTTTGAAATTGAAATTTATACATCATCTGAAAGCTGAATAAATAAACTTTCCATTGATATATGGTTTGTTACTATAGGACAATATTTTGCTGAGATACAATTATTTGAAAATCTGGAATCTGAGGGTGCAAAAAAATCTAAATATTGAGAAAATCGCCTTTAAAGTTGTCCAAATTAAGTTCTTAGCAATGCATATTACTAATCAAAAATTATGTTTTGATATATTTACAGTTGGAAATTTACAAAATATCTTTATGGAACATGATCTTTACTTAATATCCTAATGATTTTTGGCATTATTGCTACAAATATACCCAAAGCGACTTAAGACTGGTTTTGTGCTAGAGGGTCACACATTAGTTCATCTTATGAAAGTGCAGTAAATTTGTAGTGTTTTTAGTGACCGTGACCGCCATGTAACCTCTGCTTTTCCCTTTCATGTCTGTGGGAATGAGAGGATGAGAAAATCCCTGCATTTAAAGCCAACTCAGAAATTTCAGAAACAGATTTGTGTGAACCTTGATTTTTCTGATTGTGCTTAAAAAATAAAGTGCTTTAAAACTTTAATATGGTGTGGCAGTAAATCATTACAGGCATGGTTTTATTGGCAAAGGCAGTAGTATCTAGTTGAGAAGCTCATGATCTTTATCATATGACCTTGTAACAGTGACTTTGGTTTGCCCAAGTTTTACAACTTGATGAAACTAAGTATTTTCTTTTCAGGCCTCTATTGGGCAACCAGCTGAAATGATTCTCCCTTCAGACCAAACCACAGAATTCACGATGCCTCATCTTTACACTGGAGATGTGAGGGTAAGTCCATCAACTCAATCAAAAATACACCTTAGAATCAGCTCAGAAGACATCTAAGATGAGGATGAGTAAATAAGACTAAATCAGCTCATTACTCATCAGCTGTCACTATAAAAACCTAAAGAATAATATGTCCTTGCATAACCCTGGTGTAGCAGGTGTCCATGGAAGCCCCTTACACTGAGGAGGAAGATGAAGACAATCAGTCTTCATCCTCAGGAACTCTCACAAGCAGTATTCCAGAGGTAAAGCCCTCAAAACCTTCAATTTATCTCCCAGGCTGAATGCATCCCTTTGCCAAAACCTGAAAAGGGAACTTTTCTGAACTCTTGTACACTCTCAAACTCTTTGCTATGGCTGTTCATTTGCATGTTTAATTTTTTATTTATATACATTTATGAATGGAAACTATTAATACAAATCTAATTATATATCTAAATAAATGTATATAATATTATTTATGTGTTCATATATTTTTCTTTCTTTCTTTTTTAGATTATGATAAAGTCTATTTTCTCTATAATTTCACAGGAATTGGTCATAGATGCTTTTGTTAGTCCTGGAATTGCATGATCGCAATTATCTCAGCACTGTTGCTATTAGAGTATATGCTAAATTGCACTCATTGCAGAATGCCGGATATAACTCCACTTCTTCTTTCAGTAACAGCTGCTTTCTTCATGTGTCTTTATGGAGCCTATTCTTCTAATACACTGGATCATCATCTCTAATCATTTCATCTAATCATTTTTCCTTTTTTCTGTACCAGGACCCAGATGAGACAATAGAGGAGGAAGATGTTAAGACAGGCGCTGCCTCTGCTGTAACAGAGTGTGTCACTAAGGTAAAGACTGACCCCAACAAAGTTATCTGACTCTTTCTCTTTTATGGCAGACTCATTATGAAATGGATAGTTCCGACTGATTGGATGAGCCCTGCTCAAATTCATTGTAAACTTCCAATAAACGCACACACATGTAACTGTATATTCTGTGTTAATGTGCTAATTTGTTATAGTGCTTGGCAACCACAAGCAGCCTTCTGTTAGAATAATGAACTTAACTGTCATTCAAAAGATTGGGGTTGAAAGATTTGTAATGTTTTTGAAAGAAGACTCTTATGCTCACCAAAACTGCATTTGATTAAAAATACAGTAGAAACAGAAATATTATTACAAGTTAAAATAACTTTTCTATCTGAATATATTTTAAAATGTATATTATTCTTGTGATGCAAAGCTGAATTTTCAGCAGCCAATATTCCAGTCATCAGAATCACATGATCTTTCAGAAATCATTCTTAATGTGCTGATTTCTTATTATTAGCGATGCTGAATTTTAGTTTAAAATTGCTTAATATTTTACATTTATACAATACAAACAGAGTGGGATCTATATACAATGAATAAACTCCATGAAATTAGCCCCAATGTTGGCTAATGTGCTTTTAGATACCTAAATACTTCCTTTAACCATGGTGAAATCACTGCACTGCTGCTAGTGGCTTACTGTTTTTTGTTTGTATGTTTTTAGGAATCATCTCCTGAAGAAGTAGTTGATTTTCCTGCAATTAAGCATGTAATACAGGACACTGACACAGGAAGTTGTTTACTGGAGCCTTCTGGCTTCTCTGAAATGCCTGGCATAGACAGCAGACCAGTTACTGAAGAGACAATTTCCCTACCTGCACTAACATCCCAACACTTAAAAGAATTTACAAATGATAGTTGTCTGAAGCCTGACAGTGCAAATATAGCTAAGGAAACGCAAAACGAGTGCACAGAAACCAAGCTGACTGAAGCAGTACCAGCAAAGCCAGGAATATGCTCCGAAATCATCATGTTAAAATCAAGAGATGCCAGTGAATTGATTGAAGATTCTGAATCTGTAGATCAGAATGAAGTAACTGTAAACACAGAAACGGGTACACGTGATCAAGTGAAAACAACAGCTGCAAAGCCACCCGACACAGAGGCAGTAAATGTTACTGATGGTGACCAGACCCAGACAGATACTAAACCCATAGACGCCGCAGCTCCTCTTTTGCTCTCCCGGCAGCTTATAGAATGTGTGCCACAGGAAGATACACTGGTAATTCTATGTGAAATCTAGGTGTAAGCTCACATGTATTATTTCATTTCCAGTATGGTCCATGTTTTATATGACTAAATACTGCCTTTCTTACTCTTTAGGAAATACAGAGAGATCTGATTGAGGCCATCATTCACGAGAGCAGCAGCCAGTCTCAAGAACACACATTTCAACACACAGCAACTCTCAGCGATCTGTCTGAAGGAGGAGGTGAAGATCAAGAGAGTTTAGTCCAGCCTCTCACCTCGTTGAAGGAAACTTCGGAGACCCTTGGATCATGTCAGGATATCAGCTATTTCGAGGTCAGTTTCAGCTCTGCAAAAATGCTTACTAAAACCAAAGAACTACCCTGAGAGTGAACAAGTGTCTGTGTGCATTTTCTGTACTGTTGAAAAGTTTTTGGTTGGTAAGACTTTTTAATGCTTTTGAAAGAAGTCTCTTTTGCTCACCAAGGCTGCATTTATTTGATCGAAAATACAGTAAAAACTAATATTGTAAAATATGATTACAATTTAAAATGTCTTTTTTGCTTTAATATATATTAAAATGTATTTTTTTCCTCTGAAGGCAAAGCTTTATTTCTATATATATATATTTATTATATGACTAAATACTGCCTTTCTTACTCTTTAGGAAATACAGAGAGATCTGATTGAGGCCATCATTCACGAGAGCAGCAGCCAGTCTCAAGAACACACATTTCAACACACAGCAACTCTCAGCGATCTGTCTGAAGGAGGAGGTGAAGATCAAGAGAGTTTAGTCCAGCCTCTCACCTCGTTGAAGGAAACTTCGGAGACCCTTGGATCATGTCAGGATATCAGCTATTTCGAGGTCAGTTTCAGCTCTGCAAAAATGCTTACTAAAACCAAAGAACTACCCTGAGAGTGAACAAGTGTCTGTGTGCATTTTCTGTACTGTTGAAAAGTTTTTGGTTGGTAAGACTTTTTAATGCTTTTGAAAGAAGTCTCTTTTGCTCACCAAGGCTGCATTTATTTGATCGAAAATACAGTAAAAACTAATATTGTAAAATATGATTACAATTTAAAATGTCTTTTTTGCTTTAATATATATTAAAATGTATTTTTTTCCTCTGAAGGCAAAGCTTTATTTCTATATATATATATTTATTTATTTATTTATTACACCACTCTTCTGTCTCACATGATCCTTAAGAAATCATTCCAATATGCTGATTTGACTTATTGTCAGTGTAGCATTTATTTGAAACAGAATTATTTGTAACATTATAAATATCTACAGTATACTGTCACTTTTGATCAACAAAATGCATGCTTTCTGAATAAAAGCATTAATTTCTTTAAAAAAAAAAAAAAACTTGCTGGCCTCAAACTTTTGAATTGTTGTATAGTTATAATAACTAAGAAGGGACAACATGTGTGAAGCAGTTAATCTGCAGTTTGGGCAAATGCAAGGTTATATTCATATCTAAAAAAAAAAATCTGACAGAAAACATTTCACAGAGGCTCTAAAGACTGATTCTGCCTTTCTGCATCTTCTGTTTCCTGCCTACACAGACGAGACAGCATCTGTCAGAGATTCCGGTGTCTGCATTGAATGCCAGTGAATCACAGATGGGAGACTCAAAAAAACTCCTCAAGGACCTTTCAAGCATCAAGGTATCACCAATTCACTTGCAAAGTCTACAGAATAAAATAAAACTTTAACAGAAAAAAAACTTTCCTTAGGTGGTACAATACTGTCTTCTCTTTACATCCCTTCTCAATATGTAAATGACATTCGTAACATCCATTTACTTTGGAGTTTAATCCACTGCATAAGTTTTTAAGATTTATTTAACATGTACCTATTTAAAATAAATAAATAAATACATATTGCCTGTATCTTCTCTGGGTAGTTTTTGTCACTATAATAAGTGACCTTGCAAAAATGTTTTACTATGTTTTGGGATTATTTCTGTAAACTTGTGTTTTAGAACTTTCCAAATACACACAAACGTACTTTAGAAAGGTATGCAAAATTGTCTGAGCACAGGGTAGACCCAAACAGTTGCAAAGGTAGGATTGGTCCGTAACGTTTGAAGTTCTGATCTAAGTGTTTGCTCTGTAAGAGTCTGCAAAGCGACACATGGACTTTGGTGCTTGAGCGGCGGAGATTAGTGGGACAGAATAATGTTGATCTCCAGAGATGTTCTGAAGCTCTTCTGAACGGTCTGCGGGGTCTCCAGGCACTGGGCTTTGAGCGGCTGCTGCGCAGTCAGGATGCACAGCCACGAAACTGCAGTCAGCTGCACAGTCTGCTCACAGAACACAAGGTACACAGCTGACCAACTTAGTAATTATATTATTATTTATAAAAAATAATTTTTTTGACTTCTTAAATGACTCTAATAATGTTTGGAATTGAATGGTAACAGAAATGCTTCCAAGATTTGGGGCAGAACCTTGTAATGGTGAAGCTGCAATACCATAAGCTGCCAGAGGGGGCACTGCAGGCCCAAGCAGAGGTGGCGCATTTAATATCAGCTCTACAGGATCAAGCACAAACTCATGGTGTCCGAATGCAGCACAGCTTAGAGGTACAATAAAATGAACTTATTCAGACCGTAATGTTATCAATTGTTCCCATTTCATAACACTTTCTCATTATCGGTCATAATTTAGTCTTTTGTATCATCATTGCGTCAATTAACACTATATTCATGAACCGTTCTAGTTTAATAAACCTAGATTTGATAGGAGTATATGACATGTATAAAATTAAGTAAGAGAAGTGAGCAACAAAAGCTCCCTCATCGCTCTTTATGTGTGTTGTAGGAGTGGTCTCGGTACGAGGAGGTCACTGAGAGACTGGGTAAGCAGTTGGATGAGATGGAGACAAACATGTCCAGTCTGGATTCAGAGCTAGAGGGAGACCTGCAGGGACAGCTGCAGTCCTATGAGGTTTGTTCGCCGCATCCCTGGGAACACTAATGGCTGCCTTTCTTTGACCTCCTTTGAGTTAGAGCTGTGTTTATTTGATAGGAATGTTTTACATTCTATGTCCTTGCAGGAGAATTACAGAAATTCTTTTTTTTGTCTTGTTTTACAGTTAAAATATCTAAAAAATAGTTTTAAAATCGCATAATTGTAAATCTTGAATTAGGTTATTGAATTGGTTTTCTTTCTCTATTGGCACATTTTTGTGAGGTTTATGCTCAATAAAAAATAGTTATAATAAAGAACAATATATTTGTTAGACACTATATATTCAAATGTTTGAGGTCATTTAAAATTTTCCTTGAAATAAATTCATAATTTTAAAGGAAAGACAGTAAAGACATTTAGAATGTTACAAAATTTATTTTAAATAAATTGTTTAAATAAATAATAAATAAAACTTTCCACGAAATCCTGACAAAAAAACATGTTTTTCAGAAAAATATTAATAAGCACAAATGTTTTAAACACAATGTTTCTTGAGCACCAAATCAACATATTACAATGATTTCTGTTGGATCATGAAACACTGAAGACTGGAGTAATAGCTGCTGAAAATTCAGCTTTGCCATCACAGGAATAAAATTGCATTCTAAAATATATTCGAATAGAAAACAGTTATTTTAAAATGTAAAATTGATCAAATAAATGGAGCCATGGTGAGCTTAAGAGACTTCGGTTCTTTGTACTAACATCAAACTTTAAAATGATACTCTATATTTATTTGTATAATATGTAAATATATTTATAAAAAAGCAAATTAAATCTTTTTACTAGTGCTGTCAATCGATTAAAAAAAACTAACTAATTAATAGCATATTTTTCTGAAATTAATCGCGATTAATCCCACCTAACATTAAAGTTTTTAAATATACATTTATATTGTAATAATTTCACATTCAATCTTCAAATTAATGTAGAAACAACATAAAGACAGTATATTTTTAATAATTTTCTCATAATATTTAACCATTGACTATAGCTATTCAACATTAGAGTATAATTGAGAGCTATCCGTTTGAACATTTATTAGACTTTTAAAAATAAATTCTAATTTAAGTGAACTTAAAATCTTCACATAAACCCATTATACTAAATTTCTTATTTAGCTACATGTGCCCTTCAGCAAGTACAAAATTAAATATACAGAAATTGATAGTCATCAAACACTAAAATCTAAATTAAATATAGATGAATCCTTAAAGCTGCAAAAGTTATTGATTTCTCCTTTTTTTTTTCTTTTGTTCTTTGATTAGCAGACATCACAGCAGTTGGTTATTAGGTTATTTTGGCTGCTTTAAGAGCTGCCGCTGCTGAACATGACACGGATCTGACGCACATCATATTTTCTCACAACTCTTTACCTTTTCTGACCCACTTCAGGTTTAAAGTCTCTATTAATGAGCTGATGAGTTGAATCGGGTGTGTTAGAGGAGGGAGACAGTGCTGGTGCTCCAGAAAACCCACTGCATTTCAGAGACATGTTCTTAAATCTGACTCATATATAACAAATACTTGCATGCACAGTTTTAAGGCAGCTTTAATCGCCTTTTTGGTAACTTCATGACTTAACTGATGACATAACTACAACATGGCATGCTCGGTAGTTTCTTTTGTGTTTTAATATTAAATGAGACGGGTTACAGCGTGCTCCGCCGCATTTGTGTGTGCAACTGAAGAGCACATGCTACAAGCACCGGCTGACAGGACAGGAAAATTATTTTCTGCTGACATACGGCCTGACAACATCTCATCTGACTGCAGTTCACCGTTGTTCTGCGAAGCTCCTCATCTCCTGTACCTTTTTTTTCACCCTCGTTTGACTTGTGTCTGGCGCTGAGGTGAAGTTGGAGTATAGCTGAGCTATATTAAGTAGAAGAAATATATTATCAAGTATAATACACTAATTTTGTCACCCAAATATTATATTATATTCCATTTGAAGTGTTTAAACTGTCTGTCTTTTTAAAAGCAAATAATGAGGTTTTGATATTAAATTATATTAAAAAGTAGTAATAAATACTAGTTAACATAAATACGTTTTATAAATAGTTTAATGTTTGTTATAACATATGTTTATAGTCTTAAGTGTAAGGTAAGACATAATAACCTGCCAACCTTTCTTTTTTCTTCTTTTCTTTTCCATTTTCTATCATTGTCAGAGATTGCAGAAGGTCCTGGAAGACACAAGGCCTCAGGTGTGGGAGATCCAAGACCGACTCAGGATCCTGCAAGAAAAGGGGTGTTGCCGTGAGCGGCCAGGCCAGCCTGTACCAAAATCACAGATCAGTTAATGAACCCACCGATCGCAATGAGCACATCCTGTTTGCTGAGCAGCTGGGAGCTCTCAGTCTGAGTTGGCTTATTCTACAGGTCAAAATTGACAGCATGGTGAGTGCAGAAGTTCAGAATAGTTGCAGTAACCTAAATAACCTGCCAAAGCCATCATATTTGAAATGTGACAAGTTCTTCTGTCTCTAGATTCATGATGTTGAGGACCAATGGCAGACCTGCACAGACAGAGAAAAGCGTTTGTACTATATGCACACCTGGATCTCTCAATGTATGGAATGGGTGAAAAACAGCTGGCGACCAGAGAGCTGCTCACAGATTGAGCAAACGTTACAGGAGTGTGAGGTGAGTCTCTTATCTCACAGCTAGCTTGAAGACTTTGTTGCAGTTGTTATTTGTTGGTGTGAGTTAAAGGAGTGCTTTTAAAAAGGGAAGTGAGAGATATCAGAAAACGCTGACATTGCTTCATTGCAGGAGACAGAGGAAAGGCTGCAGGTGAAGTCCTCTGAGCTGAAGACTTTGGGAGCTCTTCACCTGTTCGGGCAGCAGGACGGTGAACATCCTGGAGATCAAGCATTCTCCAAACAGGTGAATTCAGCCATCCAGGACTGCCAAGCTTTGAGTCAACAGGTAAGTTCATAAACCCTGTGAAAGAATGCATCTGTAAATGTGTGCACATTGGCCACATATACTACTTTACAAAAGTTTGGGTTGAGTAAGATTTTTTTTTCTTTAAGAAAATAATACTTTCATTCAGCAAGGATGATTAAATTGATCAATGTGTCACAATTTCCAGAAAAATATTAAGCAGTAGATTTGTTTTCAGCATTGATAATCTATCTTGAGCATCAAATCAGTATATTAGAATGATTTCTGAAGGATCATGTGACATTGAAGACTGGACGTCTATCACAGGAATAAATTACATATTAAAATGTTACAATAGAAAACGGTTATTTAAATTTGTAACACTATTTCAGAACATTACTTTTTTTTTTACTGTATTTTTGATCAAATAAATGCAGCCTTCGTGAGCATAAGTAACTTTTTAATGGTAGTGTACATACTGCAGCTTTAAAAGCAAGTGAAGAAATGTTATTCCTAGCTGTGTATATGTGTGTGTGTGTGTGTGTTTTTCTTAGATAAATGCTCTCAAGTCAGGTTTACAGCCAATCAAAGATGAATGGACTCACTTTGAATCTAAAATGAGTGCAGCAGAACTGCAAACAACCGGGGTGCTCTACAAGCTGGAGCTCTGCAGAGTTCCTGTGTTCTCATCTGAGCAGAGCCAAAGTCATGTGGAGCATCTGCAAGTGAGTAAACGGCTCTAAATGAAACCAATCCATTGCAAAAAGGTTGTAAAAGTTTGACTTTTTCTAAATTGTAAAGTTGTTAACATTATAACCATTAATGTAATGTTTAAGCACCAATTTTATTCTCCCAACATGAGAATTCACTAGGGGTGTAACGATACACGTATTCGTATTGAACCGTACGGTATGAGGCTTTCGGTTCGGTATGCATTACAAACCGAACGATTCATGGAGTAATCCCATTACATTTGTGAAAAAAAAGAGCTTAAAGTGTGTGAAATATAATGTACTCCAGGTTGTGATGGCTTTTAAATAGCTTGTAAATGCTTGTGCGCATTTTACTTTCACTTTCGAACTAGCTGCATTTTGGCGTCAATTGATTGAATTGACAACAACAAAACAGTACGACAAACTCACTTACATTAAGCATCGAATGTTTAATTTATTAACAAAACGAATACAAATACACCATGCTATATGCCTAATATAAAATAACAAATAACTTGGACAAAGTTTAAATATAAAACACTGAAAATCAGCAAACACGGTGGAACCAAATAAATAAGAAACGAATGTTAAAAAAGCTGCCAAAATCATCTTAGATAAACAGCAAAAGTCAAAAGGTCTTCCAAAGTCCAAAATATTTTTAAGATAATATGATACTAGTTTTTATAAATTAAAATCAAGGAAATTTGTTTGGCATTTCTTTGTTTTTGCTGTATCGAAAACATACCGAACTGTGACACCCCTGTGTCGTATCGAACAGAACCGTTAAACCCCTAGAATTCACATATAAATATTCAACATTGCCATCATAGATAGTAGTGTGATTTATTGGGTATATTATTATTCATGCTTCCTAACAGGAGCTTGAAGGGGAGCTGAACCGATCAGAGACCTGGACCCAGTTAACTGAGTTGTTTTCTGACTTGAAAGACAAACTCAACCCTTATGCGTCTGAACTTTTGTCTGATCGTCTAGAGAAAGAGAGAACTCGGTAAGTGATTTTACTTTACATATCCGCCACTTACTTTAATTCACCTTTTAAACTTTGAAATAGCACCAAACTGACAATTTCTCTGACATTGTGTCTTCATCATTGTTGAGGAAGCTACTTTAAAACAGCAGTGTCTTTATAAGTTAGCAATTGAATCAGTTTATTTTATGGTTTAGTTGAGTGAATCATTTATTTACGTGAATCATACAAACTAATTCACTAAAATGAATCAGACATTGCAATGCAAAGAAAGAACAGAACATGTTTGATTTTTAAGTTTTGTTTATCTGGTTGTTCATTTTCAGACATCAAGCAGTGACTGAAGATGTGCATGCAGATTTACTGAAGGCCCAGAATGCATTGCGGCTTTGGCTGGAGTATGAGCGTCTCACGGGAGAGTGCTGCGTTCAGCTAAATCAGCACTGGGAGAGGCTTGGAGAGCTTATGAGTTCTTCAGACAGAGAAGAAAACACTGTAGAGCTGCTCAACAGCAGGATGCAGGGCATCAGTGTGAGTAATTAATAGTATCTAGGCCCCTTTAACATCTGGCATTAGGATGCATTTCCTATTCTTCATCTCCAGTGTTATCTGACAGAGGTTTGATCACACTTACCCAAGAAAAAATGGAAAATGCAAACTGCATATTACTTGAAATATTATTCATTAAATGAGATTTTAACTCTAATATGATTATTGGCCTCAATTACCTGAAAAGGCATGCTAATGCCAGGTGAGAGCTCAGTGCAGATGAGAAATCAATCAAAATACAATAGGTCTGAGGTACAAAACACATTAAGTACAAAATTAAAAGGTTAGTGGCTAACAAAAGGGAAAACGACAACAACCCTTAAATCATACTAAACCTATACATTCCACAGCAATAATGATGCACAGAAATGTTAAAAACTGATTGTTTTTTAAATACAAAGGTACTGGTTTGGATTTAATCTGTCATTTTTAAAGAAAACAACATTTTGCAAAGTAATGATTCACAGTGAAAAATCGAACCTAGATAGTAGCCAATTTTCAGCATGTGCTTGTCAAGTGCTAAAGTGTTCTAGTCCTACAGATGGGTCTGCAGTACTTCAGTCCAGTTGTTTGTTTTTTTTAGAAAAAAAAGATTGAACATTGAGAGCTGGAGCTTTTCTCAGTGGGCTAAAAATACCAAATGAGACCTGTGTTATTCTTAACAAAAAATGTTCAACACAAAAGAACATGGAATCATGAATCTGTTCTCATTCAATTCGTTTAAACTGGTGTTTTTTTCCCTGGTTCATACACATAGTTAATTAAACTTTTTTTGTACACTTATAATCCCTGTTTAAACATAAACAAACAAATAATATATTTAATGGATGTTGATAGTAAAAAATTAACTGATATATTTTCTGAATAAAAAACAAATTTGTGTCTAAAATTTAAATAAATAAAAGGAATGATAAGAAAAGCAAATGAAAAAAGTAGCCATTAGCATCACTGTTCATCCAGGCTCTCCATTAAGGCAGTTACATGAATCTCCCTGACAGTCCACATATACTCCTCAACGGAGTTATTTAATTGTAATGTTTTTTAGTAGCTGCCATAAGTATTTAATAAATGTTTTTTCCTACCTTTTACTGATTCCATCTTAAGTTTCAAAAATAGTAATCAGTGGCTCAGAGTTGAAGGCTTCATACATTTGATCAGAAATAAAGAAAAACGGTAATATTGTGAAATATAAATACAATTAATAATAATAATAATAATAATAATAATTTGAATTTTTTTAAAATGTACTTTATTCCTGTGATGTAAAGCTGAATTTTCATCAGTCATTAATCCAGTCTTCAGTGTCACATGATCCTTCAGAAATCATTCTAATATGCTGATTTGATGCTCAAGAAACAATTCATTATCAATATTTTACATAATTGTTCTGCTGAATATTTTTTCAGGATTCTATAATGAATAGAGCATTCAAAAGAACAGCATTTATTTGAAATAGAAGTCTTTTGTAACATTATGAATGTATTTACTGTCCCTTTTGACCAATTGCTGAATAAAATTATTACTTTATTTAAAAAAAAAAACAAAAAAAAACTTTTGAACACTGGTATAAGTCATTAAAAAATAATTTTATGACATGATAAATTATGTCATTTCCTGTGTGGCTCTTCTAACCTAATGTATTTCACAGGCTCTGGAGAAAGACATGCCGGCCTTGCAAAGCAGTGTGGGAAAAATCCTGGAGGCCTCGAAGCTTCTCATTGGGCAGATGAAACCCCAGTCAGCCCCTCTAATCAAATCAGAAACAAGGTTGCTATCACGTGACCATGCATATCTTGGCAAGGCACTTTCTGACATTGGGGCACAAGTTCAGGTGAGGGCGACAAGTTTAGATCTTTAAAAGACTGAATACAACATTATGTCAAAGTAATCTGATTCATCTGCAAACTGATGGCAAACATTTACAGGTGAATCTCAATAAATTAGAATGTCGTGGAAAAGTTCATTTATTTCAGTAATTCAACCCAAATTGTGAAACTTGTGTATTAAATAAATTCAATGCACACAGACTGAAGTAGTTGAAGTCTTTGGTTCTTTTAATTGTGATGATTTTGGCTCACATTTAACAAAAACCCACCAATTCACTATCTCAACAAATTAGAATATAGTGACATGCCAATCAGCTAATCAACTCAAAACACCTGCAAAGGTTTCCTGAGCCTTCAAAATGGTCTCTCAGTTTGGTTCACTAGGCTACATAATCATGGGGAAGACTGCTGATCTGACAGTTGTCCAGAAGACAATCATTGACACCCTTCACAAGGAGGGTAAGCCACAAACATTAATTGCCAAAGAAGCTGGCTGTTCACAGAGTGCTGTTTCCAAGCATGTTAACAGAAAGTTGAGTGGAAGGAAAAAGATGCACAACCAACCGAGAGAACCGCAGCCTTATGAGGATTGTCAAGCAAAATTGATTCAAGAATTTGAGTGAACTTCACAAAGAATGGACTGAGGCTGGGGTCAAGGCATCAAGAGCCACCACACACAGACGTGTCAAGGAATTTGGCTACAGTTGTCGTATTCCTCTTGTTAAGCCACTCCTGAACCACAGACAACGTCAGAGGCGTCTAATAATAATAATAATAATAATTTGAATTTTTTTAAAATGTACTTTATTCCTGTGATGTAAAGCTGAATTTTCATCAGTCATTAATCCAGTCTTCAGTGTCACATGATCCTTCAGAAATCATTCTAATATGCTGATTTGATGCTCAAGAAACAATTCATTATCAATATTTTACATAATTGTTCTGCTGAATATTTTTTCAGGATTCTATAATGAATAGAGCATTCAAAAGAACAGCATTTATTTGAAATAGAAGTCTTTTGTAACATTATGAATGTATTTACTGTCACTTTTGACCAATTGCTGAATAAAATTATTACTTTATTTAAAAAAAAAAAAAACTTTTGAACACTGGTATAAGTCATTAAAAAATAATTTTATGACATGATAAATTATGTCATTTCCTGTGTGGCTCTTCTAACCTAATGTATTTCACAGGCTCTGGAGAAAGACATGCCGGCCTTGCAAAGCAGTGTGGGAAAAATCCTGGAGGCCTCGAAGCTTCTCATTGGGCAGATGAAACCCCAGTCAGCCCCTCTAATCAAATCAGAAACAAGGTTGCTATCACGTGACCATGCATATCTTGGCAAGGCACTTTCTGACATTGGGGCACAAGTTCAGGTGAGGGCGACAAGTTTAGATCTTTAAAAGACTGAATACAACATTATGTCAAAGTAATCTGATTCATCTGCAAACTGATGGCAAACATTTACAGGTGAATCTCAATAAATTAGAATGTCGTGGAAAAGTTCATTTATTTCAGTAATTCAACCCAAATTGTGAAACTTGTGTATTAAATAAATTCAATGCACACAGACTGAAGTAGTTGAAGTCTTTGGTTCTTTTAATTGTGATGATTTTGGCTCACATTTAACAAAAACCCACCAATTCACTATCTCAACAAATTAGAATATAGTGACATGCCAATCAGCTAATCAACTCAAAACACCTGCAAAGGTTTCCTGAGCCTTCAAAATGGTCTCTCAGTTTGGTTCACTAGGCTACATAATCATGGGGAAGACTGCTGATCTGACAGTTGTCCAGAAGACAATCATTGACACCCTTCACAAGGAGGGTAAGCCACAAACATTAATTGCCAAAGAAGCTGGCTGTTCACAGAGCGCTTTTTCCAAGCATGTTAACAGAAAGTTGAGTGGAAGGAAAAAGTGTGGAAGAAAAAGATGCACAACCAACCGAGAGAACCGCAGCCTTATGAGGATTGTCAAGCAAAATCGATTCAAGAATTTGAGTGAACTTCACAAGGAATGGACTGAGGCGGGGGTCAAGGCATCAAGAGCCACCACACACAGACATGTCAAGGAATTTGGCTACAGTTGTCATATTCCTCTTGTTAAGCCACTCCTGAACCACAAACAACGTCAGAGGCGTCTTACCTGGGCTAAGGAGAAGAAGAACTGGACTGTTGCCCAGTGGTCCAAAGCCCTCTTTTCAGATGAGAGCAAGTTTTGTAATTCATTTGGAAACCAAGGTCCTAGAGTCTGGAGGAAGGGTGGAGAAGCTCATAGCCCAAGTTGCTTGAAGTCCAGTGTTAAGTTTCCACAGTCTGTGATGATTTGGGGTGCAATGTCATCTGCTGGTGTTGGTCCATTGTGTTTTTTGAAAACCAACGTCACTGCACCCGTTTACCAAGAAATTTTGGAGCACTTCATGCTTCCTTCTGCTGACCAGCTTTTTGAAGATGCTGATTTCATTTTCCAGCAGGATTTGGCACCTGCCCACACTGCCAAAAGCACCAAAAGTTGGTTAAATGACCATGGTGTTGGTGTGCTTGACTGGCCAGCAAACTCACCAGACCTGAACCCCATAGAGAATCTATGGGGTATTGTCAAGAGGAAAATGAGAAACAAGAGACCAAAAAATGCAGATGAGCTGAAGGCCACTGTCAAAGAAACCTGGGCTTCCATACCACCTCAGCAGTGCCACAAACTGATCACCTCCATGCCACGCCGAATTGAGGCAGTAATTAAAGCAAAAGGAGCCCCTACCAAGTATTGAGTACATGTACAGTAAATGAACATACTTTCCAGAAGGCCAACAATTCACTAAAAATGTTTTTTTATTGGTCTTATGAAGTATTCTAATTTATTGAGATAGTGAAATGGTGGGTTTTTGT